CAATTTTTTAATTCTATTGGTTATTTTTTATTTTTTTTTTCTCCTTATATACGTATTTTTTATCATTCTTATAAATCTTTATTTCGAATAACTTCTTTGTTTTTTTCATTTTTTATTTTGTTGATTTTTTTCAATTACAGGGGCGAACACTAAACGGAAACGTATGTATTCTACGGCCACATCTCAGCATGAAAGAAATTACATCATACAATTTAACTCTTTGCGCTCCAATGGTGACTCTCAGGCACCACTTGGTTTGATGCAATAACTCCAGAGGTAGAGTTTCCAGTATCATTTGGATTGATGCAGCAATTCAAACTGTGAAATATTTATTTATTTTTTATTTTTTTAGAATATCGCTTCATGAATAGATTCTTAAGTTCTTTACGTATTATCTTATAAAATGTAAAATAATATATTGTCAAATGGCTAGATTTTTTTTTATTTCAAATTATATCGCAAACGCGGATCGGATTATATGTTTAGCTTTAGTCCGAGTTTGACAGTTGTGGCAAAAAAAATATTATTTTCAAAGTTTTTAAGTTTTGTAAGCATAGAATGCGGTAATGGAATTAGTTCAAGATAAATTTGATTTTTCGTTATTGAATAACGAAATTAGTACTATTCATTAAGAAATTGATGAAAGAAGAAAAGTGATAAAAATAGAAATGTAGTAAGAGAAAATGAAAAATAAAAATAAGACAATGAATATAAGAATACATTATTGGGATTGTAAGGTTTGCTCTCAATGAAATAAGAAAGATAAAAAACATCAAACGACATTTTATTGTGATACTTGCCCTGACAAACTGAGAATGCATCTTAATAATTACATAATTTGTGTGAAATCATTTTAAATTAGCTATAAGAAATTCACCGAATGGGTGAAATCGTCGGGAAATCTGGAGTTGTTGGTTCACCGAGTGAAAAATGCTTGGAGCGCAAAGGCCCTAAATTATAAATGATGTTCTTTTCTTTTTAATTCCTTTAATAAATTTCATTGTGTTTATTATTAAAAAATTAAATTTAAAAAAAATTTCATAAAAAAAATAAATAGATATTCCAAATTCTTCTTGCTATAATATAATAAAACAAATTACAATAAAAAAGTTAATACTTTTGAAACATGTAAAGTATGTAAAATATATCGAAATAACATTTTTAGCATTATGCACCTTGGCGTTAAATTTAAGGGAAATCTTTATATGTATACGTACATATATATATATATATAGAGAGAGAGAGAGAATATATGCATGTGTATATGTGTGTGCGTGTGTGTGTGTGTGAAAGCAAGTACGAAGATATATGGGGAGAGATACGAAGAAATAAAAAACCGAAACTAATAGTCGGGTATGTAGATTGCCAACATAATACAATGTAGGCGAAAATGTCGATTAATCCTCTTGAATACAATATTAAGAGCATGTAAACAGCTGACGAAGCTTCCCACGTAAAAAATTTGACGGTCTCAAAAAACTGAATATGAAACGTCAAATTACGCAAAAATTTATTATTAATAAATCTCAATGTTAATTGTATTAAATTGGGTTTTACCGCGTCTTATTCTGTATTATTATATATTTTCTTATTTGTAAGTATTATTATTGTATACACATACATACATATTATATAACAATTCAACCAGCATTTTGGTTGTCTTTAAGTAAATATCTTTTGTTTAGTTTATATTTTTTTACATGATGTATCAAAATCCATTACCTTTCTAATAAAGATTAATTTAAATAAAATACTAACTTGTGACATAATTCATAAAACTTCAGTATAATTAGTTTTCGGAATGAGATGAAAAAACAAAAATAACATCAAATATATCATAATTAAAAAATTATATTTAAAATATTTTGTTATAATACTTACATATATATTTAAGTAATAAATTATACATTGATAACAATGATTGTAATTTCAATTAAATCAATTTTTCTTTATTATGTTTATATACAATTAATGTTTGTAGTGATAATAGCAATTAATGATAATGATTATGATTATAATTAAAATATTTGGTAATCCCAATCAATTAACATTGTAGTTTGTTTTAGTAAATGCGTTCTATAGTGTTGACTCGATAATGAATGACATGACTGTAAAATCATAAAAAAAAGTAAAAATAATTACAAAAAAAAAAAAAAAAAAAAAAGAAAAAAAAAAGTGTTTATAGCTTATATAATATAGGAATATAGATAAATACAGAATAAATAATGAATTATTATATGTTAATGCATTATTGTTCAATTTGCCTCGATTTTTTTTCAGTTGAAAATAGAATTTTGTGTTTCATTAGTTATTATTGTATACTGTAATTATACAGTTGATTACATAAAGATATATGTATGCTACATTCATTATTGGAATTAAAAAAATTATTCATTCCTATCATATGGAAAAAAACACCCTTGATAAATAAAAAATTAAAAAATAAATTTGTACTTTATTCTATATAAAAGAATTAAAGAAAGAATAAATCTTCATATGTACACATAATTGTTTAAACACATTTTTTTAAACTGGAAGTACAATACATATATATATACTTTCTATACAACAACAATTTATTATTATTTCATAAAGGTACAACTCAGCAATATAAACGTAATAATGATATTGTAAAACATAATTCAATAAAAAATGTTTAATCATTATGATAATATTTTCAAACTAAGAAATAGATTGTATAGTATGTATAAAGTATTTAAATTTCATTTATTAAAAAGATTTTCACTATAAATATTTAATTGATAACAATGAAAATTTTATCTATTATTATTCCTGTTTCTCTAATAAAAATAACAAAATATGAATTTCGGAAATAAAAATGAAAATAAATTATCGATATATGATACATATAATCGATTCAATTTATGTGGTTTACTTCCATTTTATTATGTTTTATATTATATTTGTAATATTCTTACCCAAGTAAGTTATTCTATTACAAGTATATGTAGTACATAACTACGAATATAGTAAAGTTACAGTAAGAAAATGAAAAATTAAATATAAATGTTTCGACTATTGAAAAATATTGAGAAGGAACTTGAACACAATTCAAATGTATAAAGTATTCAAGTTCTTATGTTTATTTTTTCGAAAATCAAATCATTTATAATTTTCTACTATCACCTCACTATACTTGTGATCCATACTATACACATTGTGTAACTTATTTTTCTTTCAATATTTTAAATCATTCTTTAAATGATTTATTTATTATTTACGATATTCGACGTATTTAAAAATTTGTATTCCACTTTATTGTACTTTAACGTAAATTAGTCCTTTTAACATCGATATCTATTTCATCTGAATTATTTTTTGGAACTAAACCCAAACTGTTTAACATTCCGGACGGTGCAGTATCTTCCATTGGATAGGCAGAAATTTTTTTACATCTAATTAAATGTGTTGCTAATTGATTTCCATCAATTGTTGCATAACCACACGAACATTGCATTTTTTTATCTAATGGAATATTAATAAGAGGAGAAGGAACTACCAAACTTGTCATTGGTCGTTCATTATGAATTTGTTGTTGGTGTTCCTTAAATGCACGCCAACAACAAGTTACATAGCAACATAATTGACATTTTTGTTCACCTGGATAATGATCTTGTTCATCTATGTCTTCCTCACATTCTTGACAAGATAGATGTTCATCAAATGGAACATTTACTATAACTGGACCAGTAATCCATTTTTTGATTTTTTCATCACATGGTAATTCCGGTATGGGACTATCAATTTCATATCGTCTACTTTGAAATCTTTGTTTTGAAATCATAATTCCATTATTACCATTTGAATATGGAATAACCTTTGTACCAGATACAGAATCATGCAATTCTCTTTGATGAATTTTTAATGAACTTTTTTGATTAAACCATAAACAACATCTTGAACATTTATTTCCTCGTCCTTGTTCCTTTCTGATAACATGCCTTTGCATATGTAATAAAAATGCATGAACGCTGGTAACATTAGGATTACCATTTCTTACAAAACCTATTACTTTCAAACAATAAGGACACTGTAATCCTTCACCTTTCTCATGAACTCGATAAAAATGATCAATAACATCCTTATGACTCGAAGTACGATAACCACAGCTTTCACATCGATAGGGCATTTCCGAAGGACAATGCATCGACGATAAGTGATTTATAAGAAGGCCACTGTTTCCAAATTTTTGTTCACAAATGGCGCAAACAACCATGTCGCTATCAGAATGACCAAAGCTACTATGTGCTTCTGTAACGTGCGTGATCATCTGATGTTGAGAAGAAAATGCTGTACAACAATACCTACAAACCGGAGAATTTGATTGTCCTGGTACTTGTGGTGGCACATGACCAATAGTATGTTCCATTACATCTGTATTTGAACGCATCATTGTAGGACAAAGAAAGCATTTAAAGTATAAAGACGATTTATATTCTTTTAAAAGAAGTGTTTTTTCACCCTCCATTGTAGCATAGTAAAATTCTTGCAATTGTATTTGGTCGTTTTTGCATTCCTTATCTTTTTCTCTAGTACCTTTTGAATCAAAACTTTTTTTTAGATCAGGCTCTGGGCTAATTGCTGTTGCTAGATTTCTTTTTCGTCCTCTTTTCGAACCGGATTTTGTTATTTGAATAGAAGGTAATGTCTCTTGTTGTTGTATAATGTTGCTACTAGTTGAAATTAAAACTTCGCAGCCCGAATGAATTTCTTCTTTGCTTATTGTCATAAGTGGTGTTAATGGTGGTGGATTTGCAGTTGAATAAGACCAATTATGAAAAGGATTAGCAGCTATTTTAGTTAAACGATCTAGAAGACTTTCATTTGAATCAATTCTAGTTTGTTCCGCAATGTGTCCGATAATGTTGTCAAATGCTCGAGCAGCAGTTGATCCATATATTTCTCTCCATACTAATTCATCTAAAAATTGTTGTATCATTTGTCTACTAAGCAAACTAAGAGTATTTTGAAACATTCTTGGAACAATTTTTCTTAAATATTCCATAATGTGATAGTTGCTCATAAAATTTCGAGGACTTTGATCAGAAAATGCTGATTGTGTTACATGATTAAAACCCATTTCTTCAAGTGTGCTTTTATCAACGGTGAAATCAGTCATAATTTTTGAATCAGTATGTACCCACTCTTTCAATGGATGTAAAATATTATTAAAGCGTCGTTTATATGATCTATCACCATCTTGCACTGGATCGCATGCTCTTAATCTTAAATCAAGTGTAGCATAATCCAATACACCAAGCACTTCGACTTTCACTTGCCTTAAATTTCCATCTTGTGATGTTGTACCTAAACTAATTACACCAACTTGTATCACGGAATTTTTACCTCCCATTTTTCGAGTTTTATCCCAAACTGCAGCAGTACAAACACTACGTAAATGGGTATAAAAATTTTTCACATATACATTAGATACTTTTACCCAAGAAACAACATTTTGAACATTTGTTTGACATGCCCAATGGTAAATTAATTTTAGAAGAACGGTAGGTGTATATGTAGCACCTTCAAAAATTGAGCCGGAAAAAACGGAAACAAAACGTTCTGGACAACAACTTGAGATCCAAACATATCCTCCCGAATATGGAAATGTACCTTGATCACTATACATTCCTAATTTTAATTTATACATTCCTAATTTCCTTTGATAATTATTACTATGTTGTGTACAATATTGTTCGGATTTTACTAACCCTTGCTGTATCAACCATTCAGCAAATTTTGTAGCTGAGAACATAAGTACGCTCTTCACTTTTATATCTGAAATATAGAATTAATAATTTATAGTAAAAAAAAATAAAAACCAATAATTTGATTCATTTTAATAAATACCTAATTCCGATCTTTCTTTTTGAGCTACTTGTGGCGCGATATCCTTTGTACGAAGATTTGGTTTAGCTACAACAACCAATGAAGGAATGTTCTGCCTCCATTTACTTTATTAAAAGTTACTTCTCTTCCATCTGGAAGATTTTTCTTCGATTCATCAATTTGATCGCAAGCTAAATTTTAAAATAAATAATATTAAAATTGAAAAATTTCGTTTATCTACTCTATTTACTGTGAAAAAATTAATATATATATATATATATTTTTAAAAAAATATTCGATTTTTAGCCAATATAATTATTATAATATTATAATACATCAATAATCATAATTCATTTAATTCAAATTCTTTTTTTACCTGCATTTTTACTTCCGACTGATATTCCACCGATACTTGTATGCTCAGTTGGCTTTGTAATTGTCAGTCTTGTTGTTGCTGTTGCCGTTACTGTTGGCGTTGTCGTTCCTGTAGTCGCATTTATAGTTGCTGATGTTGAAGACACCGTTGGTGTAATCTGTTGTTTACTTACTGTTTTTATTCTAAGATTAGTGACACCTTGTGGGCTGGTTGTAGCTAAAATATTAAATTTATTTGACATAAACATATATTAATCTATAAATTTTGCTATTTATCATTTCAATATATATATATATATATATATAAAAGTAAACTTACTTGGTGTAACAACATGCGTCGAACAACCCAATTTTTGTCTTCCTCGAGAGACTAGTGTAGGCTATATGATTAATATAAAATGAAATCAGTTCCTTAAAAAAAAAAAAGAAAAAACTTTAAGTAAAATAATATTTAAACATAACATACTTCCTCTATTATATCAGATTGTTGTACTTGGAGCACTTTTGTTCTGCGTCCTGAACGAGTATATTTATACTGAAAATAAATAATAAAAGAACTTTTTAGTTTTAAGTATAAAACTTGTTAATTATAAAACAATTATGATAAAATCTTGATACATTTTCTGTTTGAGAATGTGTAACAGAAGATATAGATGAAGTTGTAGATGTGGATGTTGATCCTGGTGTCAATGCTGATGTGGATACTGAACTTGATGAAACATTTGTTATAGTCGTTCCTAAAATTTATTATACTTGATATTATATTTGATATAAAAACAATGATTAAAAACAATGATCAAACTCTTACCTTGAGCTTGAGCTACAGATCCAAGAATAACTCCCATTCGTGAATCCACAACAAGTTGTATATTACCCTGAGATCCATTTGCATTATTTAATACATTCAACTTAATAGATTGACTCTTATTTTGATTCTGTAATTATTAAATTATTTTTACAGATAACACTAATATTATATATACAAATCTACATGTATATGTATGTATTACTCATAACGTAACACTTACTACATTCACAATAGGTTGAGGATTATTTTTAACCGTTGTTTGTGCAGGATTTGAAGGCCTGGTATACGAGAAGATACAAACACTGAGTTTGCTAAAAGAGCAGCAATTGCAAAAAGATAACATCTATGTAGAAAATGATACCTACAATGTATATTGATAACCGTTGACATTGCCTGCTTGGCATACCAATTTACCTCCATGATCTTTAACCAATTCTTCTAAAGTAGCAGCAACCTAAAGTAAGTTAAAAAGTTAATCCACTATGTGAAATTAATTAAAAAGATGATTTAGAAGAAAACAAACAAAACATACTCTATCATAATTTTCTTTGAGTTCCAATCGTAACATTAATTGAGCTTCACTAAGAGGTTCTTCTGTACACTCCAAATTTAAAGTCATATGAGGTGGTCGACTGTTCGTTACTGAACGAGTAACCAATCGATTTTTTGGCATTTTTGTAAAATGAACAATTTTTCGAAAATGTACGGTACTTCCTACAGAGAGTAACATACATTTAACTCAACTAAAATTTCACTGTACGTAGTTGCCTGTCTTATGCAAGCAATATTGACAGTACATTCACACTTCATAGGCTAAAATGGATTTCATACTAGAATAATCACAAAATTTCTTGATTTTCTTATTCATATGACTCTTTTCCTCTGATGACACTGATCGACTCAAAAATTAACTATGATGGCGACGCCGGTGACGCCGCCATAACGAAAACAATGGTAATGATTCACAGCACTGCATAATAATACTTTATTAGTACATATTGGTTCACTTACGAAACTGATAACATAACGATGATCACGGCAGCAAATACACAATGATAATAAGACAATGAATAGGGCAACAATGAACATATAAGTTGTAAGAGATACGAGCGACCTCTATAACGAACAAACTATTTTATACTAATTTTTAATTCCTAGTAATACATATGTATATATATATATTTTTTTTTTTCGTTTACTTAAAATATCTATTATTTTACTGAGTATTAAAATATTTTAGTTATTAAGATAAATTCACTATAAATATACTATAGTAAATATACATATAATTTAGTATGAATATATATATTTTTATAGCATATAATTCACCTAGCAACGTAATTATTTTTAATTATCCTTTTAATATTAAATCAAATATAAAAAAATGATAATAGAAATTAAATATATTAAAATTATTATTGTAATATTATATTTAAGTTCTTAATACATTCTATATGACATATGACATATTATAATATATTCAAAACTATATAAATACTATGTATACATATATAATATAGTAATAAAAATTGCAAATATTTTAATTATTTTTTTTTTATATTCATTATTTTCTTATGTATTTCACAATTATTCATTTATTAATTAAATAACAATACAAAGTATATTTTTACAAAAGATATTTTTATTTTATATTTATTATTTGGCAAAGAAAGAATTGATTATTAATATTATTATTTAAGAAAAAATTTATTAGTGGTAAAAATTAAAAATAATAAATATAAGTATAATAATAAAAATCAAAATATTGTATATAAACGATAAATAACATATTTATTTTATTATTAAAAAATATTTTATTGTAATTTTTTATGAATCCTTAATATTAATATGATTAGTAGAACAATTTGGAGGTGATGTTTCATGAAAATAAATCATTGGCCAATGACGTGCAATTGATTGACGATAAGTTGAATGATCCATTGCATGATAATAAGGATAATATGTTTCGCTACAAGGTCTCCATTGATCTTCATTAGAACCTACATGACACCTGCAACAAATATAATAAAAAAAAAAAAAATAATGAAATTTGTTTTTTTAAATATAAAAAAAATTAAAATCGACACAAATCATACCAAGGATAATGATATCCTTGAGAAAATCCACATTGATGATTAGGTTCGCAACAATAATCCCAACTACCATGTTCATTTTCAGTTTCGCAAGACCAAAATCCTGTGATTTCATTTTGTTGACATATGGTGCCATTTTTGCAAGGATAACCATTTACCGTATAACGACGAAATGGAGAAATTTGATTTGCTATTGTTGTAACATAAAAAAAAAGACTGAATATAAATACAATTGAAATATTTTTAAGTTAAAAATATATTCACTTTTTTAATTTTGTTTTTCCTACTTACAGTAAAAAAGACTATGTTCATGTTCTAAAGTGTCAGATTCAAAATGAGGATTGCTATTCTCATTAAACAACTTATGTTTATAATCTTGTTCGTTTTCATCTTTAAATTTGTTTTTCCATTGAACAGAAGAATAAAAATTCGGTCTATTAGTACGCGTTCTTTCACGATCTAATATCTTTTGAGTGTTTGGATAATTAGGATATAATTCGCCATGTTTTTCATATTTTGGTGTTGCATTTATCATATTGAAACCACAGTATGGATCAAACTCTTTCCATGCATATAACATGTGATCATTGTCGCGAATATAATCTAAATTTGGTCTTAGATCTCGTATTGATATATCACTTAGAAAACAATTATTTTGTGTATTATCGATACTGCAAACAAAGTTATATAACAATTATTATAAAAAAATCAATATTAATATATATATATATATATATATATATTAATACTCACTTATTATACTTACATATAATTGAATGACATACAAGGTATCACACCGCTATTTCTCATTATCGAACACTTTTGCAGGCAATCCGACTTTGTAACAGCTCGTAATGAAGATACTATTGCATGAGACATTAATTTACATGGTCTATGATATTCGGAATAACAAAGCTGATCCATTGGAGAGAATTCTTTGCCGTATGGAGTAATCATATTTGGAACTGATAATGGTAAAGGATACATTTCGCAACCATGAGAGAGTATATTTCTCTCGTATAATTCAGCACCATCCATATCTGGCATATTGATAGGATTTATTTCTTCTGCCGGCCAATCACTTAAGAAACAGTTTGATGATAGGTGTTCATGATTATCTGCCTTCTGATTAACCATTGTATATTTGAAAACGAAACTTCTGCAAATAAATTCTTGTGACGTAGTACATGCAAGTTGGCATTCTCCAAAATCTTGAACGAACAGCGATTTTTTCGTAATGTCCATCGGCATGCTAAATCCACTTCTGATCCTCGAAAAACATTCTTCCGAAGGATATCGATTTGCTGATTTTTTTAAATGACAGATTTTGGTGTCTGACGTTAATCCATAGCTGTCATAATCACGATTCGGTTCAAGATCCGTATAAAAATTTAAATCTCGATAAGAATGATCGCTCAATAAACAATTATCAGTAGGATTTGTAGTTACTATGTTGTATCTATATGGTGTAAAAAGAAATAGAAAAAAACAAAATATAGACAAATAGATAAAATAAAAGATAAAATAAAATAAAATAGTGATATTAATAATATAATATTATGATTTAATTCAAATCAATCTATCTACTATTGAATCTATCTTGAGTTCTTAATACGATACAAACAATTTGACGCTAGGAGGCATTGTATTCGTTAAATTTAAAATATTTACATGACAAATAAAAAAAAGAAATGATCCAAGTCATTAAATTCTTATCATTATTTATACATATGAGAGCTTAAAAATTTTTTATTCACCTTCTCTTACCTGTAAGCAAAACTTTTACAAGAAAAATCTGTCTCATTAATACAAAATTCCTCGCATTGTTGCAAATCATGTGCCACGCAAGTCTTTCGTAAAATACTTCTGCTTAATTTTGAACCGGAAACAAATTTAATTGAACATTTTTGTGCCATTTGTAAATTTTCGTGTTTCTCATAATATGATTCCCTTTGAGCGGGCATGTAATTATCATTATAACCGAATGTATTTCCATAATTGTAAAATTTTCCACGAAACTGTTCATCCTCATTAGGAATGGAATGTTCTCGTATCGGAAAGTGTTCCCCGAGTCGTGAGGAAACTGAAGATCTTATATCCGAATATTCTTTATCATAATTGATAAGAGAGCTAGGAAAAGTATTGTCATTAATAATATCGGAATAACGAGAATGTGAATTTTTCCAATTGCGATTCCAATTTAAATCACGATAACGAGACATGAAACCTACAAAAGAAAATATCTTGTTTTTCTATTCATACTTAATAGATTCAATATCTAATATCCAAAATATAATAGTAGGTATTTAAATAATGAATATTGATTAAATTGGTATACAGTTCAAGTTCAAAAGTAGTGTGAAATAAAGATAAAAAAAAAAAAATCCTTATACAATATAAATATATTATATTATAATCAGATTTCATTCATAATTGTCATACACACATACATATACAGAATTATTTACCATCTTCGTAATGAGATTGTTCGCCAGAACGTGAGGGTCCATTGGAAAAATCATTAGCTAATTCGCGATTAGAAGTTGAATAAGTTTCTCGATGAATATTAGCCTCATGATCAAATCGTGTATTTTGATCATCATTTTGTTTATAATTTTTAATATGGTCTTTCCAATGGGATATACCACTATCACGCCACGTCGAAGAAGGGCAATTTTCAATTTTCTCATAATAATCGTAATGAGAATCGATTAAGAAATCTTCATCGATATCCATACAAAAATATGGTGTTGACGTCAGTTCGCACGTACATTTCGAATTAGCATTGTTTCTCCTCGAATGATAAGTAAATATTATTATGATCTATTATAATTATATAATGACTTATAATGATATATTCGACTGAGATAATTATTGATTTTTATTTTTTGATATTTTCATTATATATTCTTCGAATCAAGCAATAATGTAAAAATGAAAAATACGTAATTTTTAGTACAATATTAATCTTTAATATAAATATATAAATTTGTCGATAAAAGAAAAAAAATATATATATTTATAATAGATATACCTATGATTAAAACCTTTACACACGAAAGTCTTTTCATAATCACATGCCTGATAACAATCTTGTAAGTTTTCACAATTTATCATGCGTTCAATGAATAATCCCATCATTTTCTTGCCAGGTTGTACTTTTCGATGACAAGTCATAACTAATTTTTTAAATGTATTTATTTAAGTTGTATATATAATAAGAAAATATTTATTTATATAAAATATACATGTGAATAAATTCTTAAACATTCTTTTAACATTTTGTTATTTATAAACTTACGTGTGAAATCATCGTTATTACTTCTCTTCAAGATCGTTGAACTATGGATTGTATGAAGAAAGAACAATAAGAAAAGAAAATTGAAAAACCATGATTTTGTAAACATATTTGAATTTTTATTTTTCATTTTCTTTTTTAATTATCAAGTTATCAACACAGATAAAATTTGATTTAAATTTTTCTTTATGTTATTCGAAATAATTGAATTTTTTTTTGTTTTTCTTGCCACAATGATTTTCATAATAAGCACAAAAATTAATTTTCACGATTATAATTCGTTCCAACCGATTATACCGATATAAATTTAAACTATTAAATTTAAGTTATTACATTTATCATGGATACATTTAAAATGTATATTAATCGATGAATAAATGAATAAATAATATCAACAAAAATATCAACACTGCACTCTTAAAGAAATGTCGAAGATGTGTATAAGATGAAAACAGTAAAAAGTGATAGTGAAATTACAGTTGTGCATGGTTTTATAGAAAAGTGAACGCTTTAGCTACAATAGTGGGAGGAAATATTCACACGTAGGGAAGGGACATCTGATTGTTAAGATTTAGAAGGATTAGTTCTTAATATTCAAACATTTGTTTTCACAAATACTTTTCTCTTTATAAAACAATTATACATTTTAACAAAACGAATAAATTATATTTATATTGCTTGCCCACTATTTTGAAATTGAATTATTCATTTTTTATATCCATTGTTTTCCCTATTCTGTTTTATTACTTGCGTCTAACTATTTATTAAACGGGAAATATTAATTTGATTTTGTAATTTTTTTTAATTAATTAAAAATTAATTATTAACATTTAAATATAGAGATTTTCATACCTATGTGTACCTAATGATGTTTTACTTTAAAGTCGAACAAGTTCTATTATTTATGTCCTTGGAGATTCATCAAGGATACAAGATGCAATTATTTCAGCTAGCTCGGTCATTTTAATTATAGAATAAAATTTGAAAAAATCAATGATTTACGTGTACGTTTAATATCGATTAACTGTTACTTCTTGAGAAAGTAGTCAACATTTGCATTAAACAATATAAACGCAAAATAAAAATATAAAAAAAAAGTTATAAGAAAAATAAATAGAAAAAGAGAAAATCAGTAATTCATTATCTTTTCTATTCTAATATAATGAAAATATTTATTAAAATACTATTATATTATTAAAAAATAATGATGTTTTTTTTTTGATAAAAATTTATTTCTTTTGAAATTTATATATAAATTAATAACAATACAATATCGTTTGTATAAATTATATTACAACTTACCGAAATGATCGATTGGGATTCTTCCATTTTTGTTTTTAATAATATCCAGGATACTACGATTATCATCAGAAAAAGGATATTTATCATGATTGATGAATAAATCATAAGTACCAATAGGCCCATAATTTTCCATGTCATTTTTGTTTCTTGAAATTTCAAACAAGTTCTTCTATATTTGATTGAAGTTATTGCATTCAATAATTAAATTAAATGCATACTAATCACGCAATTTACAATGCTTAGAAAAAGAAGTATAAATAGTATAAAAAAAAAATATAGAATGGTAATAAAGATATTGTATATATATGCGTATGTGTGTATATATATATGTATATTATTTACAAATGTATAGAGATAAGAAAAGAGGAAATGAAATATTATAGAGAATTCTGTATGAGAATATTAAAATAAAATTAAATGCAAGAGAATTATGAACATTACAGCAATTTGAATAACGATTGCATAAATGAAAATAGAATAACATTACATAGAATAATATCAAATTACTCACTTCTTTCTTAACAACTTAGAAATAAATCTATTTTAATGGATTGTTCGTGATTATAGGATAAACAACTTATATATTTATAAGAGTAAATATAAAGTATTACCTTGAAAATAGTGATAGTGTATTATGTGGTGTTAATATTGGCACTGATTTTGATAATAATTTTGAGAAAGAATTGTCATTATTCATCATAAATTCTTTTCTAATCAATTTATTTATTTTCATTAGATGATTTCCATTTTTGTGATTAAAACTTCTATATATACGATCAAAATCACACGATAATGAATCTTGTCGCTTTCTCGCGTAAACATCGTATTCCGGATGAGTTTCTAAATTTTCTAACACCGGTGTCTGTGAACTAATCAAACAGGTACTGTTACCTTTCACACCAACACTGAAAGAAGAAGAAGAAGAAAAAATTAAACATAAAAATAACAGAAAAAAATAGATTCTATCGAAAAATATATAATTTTCTATAATTTCTTAATAATGATTCAATGAATATCGACGATATGAAATAATAATATCCTACCCGAATGAAAATGCATTGCAAACATGTTATTTTTTAAACAATATTCTTCACATTCCGTTAAACTTGTAACATTAGTCCGTAATACGATGTCCATATCTTGTAATTTAGAACCAATGGATATTCTTGTATAACAATCTAAAGCAAAAATCTATTTTTATCTTTATAATTTAGGCATATTTTCTATATTTTATTCAAATATAAAATTTATTATATGAATTACCATTTACAATGGGTGTTAAACGATTATCAATCGTAAGACACAGAATATATAAACATTGTTGCAGAATATTGAAAGTTTGAAACACTAATGGCAAGGATATACGACACAATGTGAACATTTTAATATCGATAATCGATCAATAATTTGAATTTTTTTTTTTAATTGTGATTTATTATTTGTAATGATTCGAAAAAATAATTGAATAAAAATTTAGTTCAAAAATAGCAGCAATTTTCAAATTTACATTCACTGTTACTATAAAACTTCATAACATTATCGAGAGCGCAATCATACATCTTACACTAGATATATACTTTAATTGAAATAAAATAGTTTTCCAATAAGGTTTCTGAAACATTCGACGATCTAAACTTGACTGAGAATACTAACGAACAATAGTTCTCTCTTATACAAAACGCAAAGAGAATTCACCAAAGCCACTATTACGTTAGAGACGTTTCTCTGTCCGTTTCTTCCCTTCTTCTATTGTAGATTTAGACATTCATAGACACGAAGCAACTCTTTCAATGTGCATTCGCGGTAGGTACATTGTTTTCTTAGTTACATGTATAACGCAAGTTCAAATAACGCGCTTCTTTCTTCACGCAGCCTCATCGTACAGAATGAATGGCGACTAATTATTTTACTTTATAACATAACTTTACTTTGTGTCTATAATTATGCACAAATAGATAAAATTATACAAAATAAATTAATAGATAGATCGGAGAAGAATATAATAATAAATATGAACTTGTATTTCAATATCAAACATATTTTCTGAATTATAATATAATTTTAAATTATCATCTATATTAATATAATTTCCTGAATGAATTTTTATAGAATGAATCATCAGTATTATGAATTAACAACTGAAAGTATACTAAAGAAATGCTTATATAACGGAAGTGAGACAAATTAGACATAAACAAAGCTGTGAGATGCGTTACGCTTCGCGAAGCCTGGCCCAAAGAATGAATGACTCACCTCACTTTATGATACACCTCACCCATACTTATTAGCGCAAGAATTCTTTTCCAAGATATATATTATATAATACTGTATTAAATAAATAAATTTCATATATTAAAAGCGTTAGAACCAGGCTCCAAATTAAGAAATAGCATGTATAATTTAATTTGATTTAATTCAATAATAATAAATATCATTATTGTAATAATATATAAACATTTATCTTATAATAACATTCAATATGGCAGTTAAAGCATAAAATATTTTTTACTTTTTTTAAAAACTTATTAGAAATACTAACATATATGAAATCAAAATTTATAACAAAAAAATTAATATATTTCTTGAATCAAAAATAAGAATGCTCGCATTCATTTATGTTTGTATATATTTACATAAAAGAAAGATTTAGATTTTATTTCAAATAATTATTAAAAAACAATTATAAAAATTTTATCATTCCATATCTTAGAAATCAAAATAAAAAATCAAAGACTAGCAACATGCATATGGTCTTTCTTGCATTCCATGAGCAATACTAGGATTTTGAGCACTTTCCTCGATAATTGGTGTAGATAACATATCTGTATTGTTCCAATTCAAATTTGTTGATTCATATACTCTGATTGATGTAGAATCACATTCGGTCGAAGATAATTTAAGGAGACCATTACCAATAGCCAGAAATACATTTTTAATTCCTTCATTTTGAAGAACCGATGTTTCATAATAACTCGCACCAATTTTCGTAGCATAAACTCTACCCTCTTCCGCATCAACTTGGCGTTCTTTTGTTAAATCTGATTTGTTTCCAATTACGACTAATGTCATAACTTCTTCTACATTTCTTCGAAGTTCTGTTACCCATCGTTTCATTGCTGCAAATGTATTGTATTGAGTTAAATCAAATACCAACATAGCTGCATTAGCATTTCGATAGTACATTGGTGCCATTGATCTAAATCTTTCTTGTCCTGCAGTATCCCATACCTATATCCAATAATAAAAATATTCAATAAGTATTTAAAAAATATAGATATTCAATTTCAATAACTTTTATATAGAGATATTTATTATAATTATTAATTATACATATCATATATAATATTATTTTGAAAATGTTTATAAATTTCTAAACAATTTTAAATTTATTCAATATATTTTAACAAATAAGAGAAGAAATATAAAAAATATAAAAAAATAAATTTCATGCACATTCATTATATATATTACATTTTGTTAAATAATTGTGTGAATAATGAGTTTAAAAAGATTTAAAATATGTAATTGATATTATAAGTATTATAATACCCGTAGCATTATTCTTGCATTTTCCAAATTTAATTTACAAGTAAAAAATGATGCTCCAATTGTAGGACTCAAATGCTCATTACATGATTTTCCAATATAACGCATAATTATACTTGTTTTACCAACACCTGAAAAGATTGATAAAAATTAAATATCATTATTAAGAATATTATAAACAATTGGTTAACCTAAAAATATTTTTTAATATTCTTATGAAATTAAGAAACTGATTAAAAGATTATATAAGATATGTAATATAGAATACTTTAAAAGGAACAAATATATATATGTGAACAAATATATATATGTATATATATACATATATATATATAGGAGGTAAATATGAAATATAAAATAAATGAAAGAAAATTAACAAAATTATAATCAATTACTTTCTTATTTTCAATAAAATTTACCTTGTGAACCCAATGCAACTACTTTTCCCTCTAAAATTTTCATTTTCTAACTTAAAACATAATGCATGATGATGCAAGCACTTTTATTTATTCTTCATACGATTTAATAACAAAGTGAATATTATTAGTCATTATACGCATTCAAAAACAGGATAAGGTAGAGTAAGAATTAATGATCAATGTCATCTTTTGAGTGATTTTAAAAAGATAATTCTTTGAAGAGATATCTTTTAAATTCAAGAGATGGCGCTGATAGTCAATTCTTACTCTATCTCTATCTTTCTTCTAGATTTTTTTCTTCTTTCTTTATATTTTATTTGCGGCACTCTGAAGATGGCATTGATTTCAATATTTTTATTCTTTCTCTCTTCTTCCTTCATTATTTCTTTTTCTTGTCTGTATTTGTTCTCGTTAGTGCGTAATCACGAACAAGATAAGGATTTCAATCGAACATATTTTTGTTTTTTCTCTTTTTTTTAACTATCATATATTTTAATTTTAAGTGCAAAAAATATAGATAAAATTTACATTTTACCATATATTATACTGATAATGTCGCAAAACATATGTAATTTTATATTGAAATTCATTTTATTTCAAATTATATTTTAATTTCAATCATCACATATTACAATTTTATTCTGAATCAAATCAATAACACTGAAAGTAAAACGACAAAGATTTCTGTTCTCGAGACATGCGAAAATGTATTGAATGTAGGTTAATTCTATAATCTCGTTTGTGAAATAAAGATCAAAATTCTTTTATTATTCTAATGTCATTTTCAACATTAACTTAGAAAATATTAAAATCATTTTTGTATGTGACAAAATTATTATATATATAACAATTGTTGCAATATTAATACTTGAAATTACAATGTAATTTTTAATGTGATATTATAAAAATTATAAAAATATCATAAATTATAATATTTTAAAGTATTAAGCAAAAATAAATTGAGATCATTCTATCATAAAAATAAAAATTTGAAGAAAATTGCAAATGTAATTATTAAAAATAGAAGTAATTTGAAATCTATAATTAGTAGAATATTTAAAAAAATTATAAATTAGTATTGTATTGATAACATCAGCACAATTTATAGCTATTATAATTGTGTTTAGTTATAATTATGTTTATATAGTATATAGTTTTGTATTATTTAGATTAGACATATTGTAATTTAAAGATTAAATAATAAAAATTAATATAAAAGGATTAATATTTTATGTAATACCTTATAATAAATACATTCTTAAACAAAAAGTGTATACATAAAATAAAATAAATTTATAAACTTATAAACATATAAACTTTTTACTTTTCTTTGATTTTTTATGTATCATTAACATATCTTTTACATAATTATTTATTAGTTTTAAGTTTATCATATTAGTTTGAAACTTTGAAAATAATCTTTTTATTATATTTTATATATTATTTGAAAGTTATCTTTTATTTAAAGGAATAGATCTCAATTTGTAATCTCTATGCAGGAAAATCTATATAATGACCGATTATTTGATATATAATATCTAATCGCATTAATATATATTATGTATATGTAACTAGTAATCATGATAAAATTATGTATTATAATATTAAAAATAATACGAGTTATATAATTTAATCTTGATTTTCATATATCCGATTTTAAAAAGATCAAATTACTTGTGTAATGATAATAAAATATTTATTTTTTGAATTTTTTTAATATTAAATTTGTAAAAATAATCAATATTTTTTGTTTATTATCGTTGATATAAATTTTATTCTTATCTTCTTATGTTTCATCATTTGTCCGTTGTAAGAATGTAATTATTTGGCAGTAGTGTAGTTTTTTTATGAATTTACTTTTTGTAATAATAAAAAAATAATTTTTATATAAATAAATTTTACAAGTTTGATATATTAAGCATTTGAAAAATAACAATTGAGAAAGAAAAGAAACAAAAATACAGAAAGAAAGAAATATGAAATAAACTATTAAGAAAAAGAATAAGAAAGGTAGAGAGGGTGAGAGAAAGAGAGAAAAAGATAGAAAGAGAGAGAGTGGTCCTTTGGATGCTACATTTCTGTTCCTCATCAGTAGTCAACCTTTCTTCGCAGTGTCATCCGGTGATCGGCGGAGGAAAGACATCACAGTGATTCCGATCGCGATAGAAATGTAATTCAAATTAAACATCTGTTATTTTTATCGTACTATGGATCGTGTGCTTTTTATTTAATATTCGTTATCGGTCGTGAATTCGTGAGGCAAGAATCGGTGCGTTTAACCGCTTACCCACGTGTGTGAATGCTGTGTGTATGCGTGCATGTGTGTACTGTTGGTTAAAAAATCAATTCTAATATTCATAATCGGAAATAAATTATTAATTAAAAATGATAAAAACGTAAATAAATAAAATGAATTTGTATATAATTAACTTTCACAATTCTACAGTGTGAAACAAATTGTCACATTCTATATAATCTATAATATAACTATCTCTTTTGAATTACATTTGAATTGAATTTACATTGCGAGAATAAGAGAAGAAAGGAAAGGTATATGAAATATGTAAAAATGGGGATTGTGTTACCAAATGTGTTTCGATGAGTCGATTCATGTCGAGTCAAATTGCCATTGTCAAAGTCGAAAGTTACCGACTCGAACTTTCACTAATAATCAAACGGTGTAATGCTACGGTTTCACGCGTATACCGCACGTTCACGGAGCATCGTAAGTAACTGAGAACATATTACGAAGCCACCACACGAAGAGACGATGTGCCACTTGTTTCGATGACCTGGTTTCTCAACCCACTTTTCCACCGGACCACACTTCGTACATGTGAATGCCTTCGCTACGCTTGGTGTATCTTACGGTACACGGACGATACACAGGAAAAAATACCGAGTTCAGAAACGAAATTAAAGAAACAGTATTTGTACCGTGTTTCCTCGATCAAAATTTCTCGATTTAAGTTTAACTATGTTCTACTTACTAGTGAAAACAAATATATACGTAGGTATGTCTATTTTGTAGGATCATTTTATCATTGGATTTTTGTGCGCAATTACCTACCGAGAATAAAAATGCGATCAATCAATGGTATTCTCCATAATGTTGTATTTATTTGAACTTGATTCGAAATAAGAAATTAAATAGAGAAAAAAGTTCTAGCAACAATGACAGGTCATCGATTGAACTTTTTATTGCGATTTCGTTCAAATAAATCAGAAGAGGTATGCACAAAAATATTGAATGGTATTTAATATTAATGTTTGAATAAGATCAACAAACAAAATTATTTTGAAAGAATAGATCTTATATAAAAATATTCATAAAACTTTTGTAAAATATAAAAATTTCGCTTCATGCTACCTTTGCATTAATGGACTGATAAAAAGCTAATATACAATATCGCCAAAAATCAAATCTTTGTTGATCATTCATTAAATCATTAAGAGGAAAAAAGAAATGAATTGGTTGACAAGTTTATTTTTGATTCTGTTCTATATTGGATTCTATTGTCAAGCCGAAAACAGGAAAAATGACCGGTATTTAAAAAATTTTGGTGAGTTTGAGTCGATAAGAAGAAGCGAATAGCATATTTATATCGTTTTTCTTAATTTTCACGAAAACATTTAATGCATTAATATCGATTACGCGCTAAACATTTTGGCAGAATGTCAATCATTCTTTTGCATAACGTTTTGTGCTAATATAATTACACATTTCGATTCTAGATCTAGATACAAAGAAGGAAACTGCAATGGAAAATGTAATCGATTCAGAAGGACAGTCACGATTTTTCGACGAACTCGGATGTAAGTTTTATGCGAATATATCTATCGCAATTAAAAATTAAACGATTGATTGGCAAAATATTATCTAATATAATCGATAAAAAGATCGTTATAATTGAATCATTATTTCATTATTTTTATTCTTCTTTTTTATTTTATTAAATATTATATTTATATATTATATTTAGCTTTAATATTTTCGTCATTCGTTTATTCGCTCGTTTACTTGAAGAATATCTTAACTTAAAAATTGTCATAATATGAGTTTCGAACATTATTGATTAACTGGACGAAATGAATAAAATAAAGAAACAGATATACATCGAAAGAAAGAACAATTGTGTCATTTCTTGGAAAAGAGAATGTTAAAATACGGAATGTTATACGTGGGAAAAGAAAGGGATGGAAAAAGATGGAAAAGAAAGGATGTAAAAAAGACAAGGTAGGGGAAAGAAGGAAAAGAGAGTGAAGAAAAGAATAAGTGGGGAACCAATGTTAGAGAAGATACGCTATCGTAGCAATGAGAAAGCTAACTGTTGGTGAAAGCCAGGAGCGCTTCTTTAGATGTCGGTAAAGTCTCGTCAGTCGATAGAATGCATCAATTCGTAATAGGTTAGGTAAAAAATTAATTTTTTAAAGTGTTGGAATGAAAAGCTGCTTATGTATGAACATAAATGGTGATCGAGATGATATAATACGTGAATGTTGTTAATCGAGGATACATTTCTCGAGGCATTTTCGAAAAGGATAAATTTGCGAGGTGTTATCGTGATCAAAATATATTAATTCGAATAACATCCTTGATAGGTGATACACACATACATATCCTTTAATCGTATCGATCAATGGAATGAAAGTAAAATGTCGAAAATACAATTTTTTCGATTTTTGGATTATCACCAATTTGTGCATTTTTTAACGATAACAAATATATCGATGAGGTCAAAAGTTTTATCGGTAGAATTTAATTAATATACAATTATGCTACGAATTTTGACAACAATTCATTAACTCAATAAAGTCTAATTTATTTAAACGATAAATTAGAAAGATATCGGATCATGAGTGTCATTGCAGTGGTACACGTGTTTCTAACAGTAACCGTTACTGCATTCAAATACAGTAATTACGATACAGTGACTTATGATCGTCCTTTGGTTACTTCTACACCGTCTTTGCCTCATTCATACAATTGGTATTCGAAATTGCAGAGATCTAAGAAAAACGAAAAAACAGAGAAATTTACAGTATTGTCTACTGGCCAATTTGTAGAGCAAGATCCTTTGAATTTATGGATCGACAGGCAACTATCAAACACAAGAAATCTCAGAGAAACGAGAACACTGGATAATAGTTTGGGGATTGGAAATCCATTTGAACGAAAGACGCGAAAGGCGACATATAAAATTGATACCTCTGCACAAGATATCGAAATAAAAGAATGTTTTGATCCAAAGAAGGAAAACTCATGGAATGGAGATAACGATCATTTTGACAAATTTCGAAATACAATTGTTCGAAGAACATACATAGGAAACAAAGATCAACCTCAAGACAGGTTGGATCATTTGAAAAAAAAAAATTTATCGGAAGGAAATAATGGAATTGGAAATCGAGAAAGACAAATTCGAGGAAGATTTATAATTGACGATATTAATAATGATAGTGAAAGTTATATTACAATCTCAGATAATTCAAATATTCAACAAAGGCAGCAATCAATACGTGATATCAATGATAAATATTTAAATGATACGAACGAAGAAAATCGTTTTCTCAATTTTCTTGATCGATTGAAAAAAAAATGAATAGCGAAGACGTCGAACAATTGACATCGATGAGTTACAGGCAAGGAAGGAAATATAAATTAACCAGTCAGCAACAAGGAACACTTCTCGTCGAGGCTTTAAGAAAAAAACGAAACTATACAGGAGATCATCGAGGTCACAATAATGATCTACAAAATGGCATAATGGACATGCTGGGTAGAAGTAGGTTCTTATAATAAAAATCGAAATCGAAGGGGGGATGATATTCCACATAATTCAAGCTTTAAAAAAATCAAGCAGCCTAAAAAGTCTTCATTTTTTTTTCTAAAATAATAAAAAAATAAAAAATAGTGCAAAATATGGTGCGAAAATAAAAATAATAGATAGTGGATAATATATGATCGGTAATTTGATTGCAGATGATTCAATTATCACTTTAAAATTTTCATTGATTAACGGACAATCTAAACTCTAATCACTTGACTTTCCTACTCGATCTCGACACTATGAATCCTCGATTTCACTTATGAAATCGTTATTCGAAACGAAAGCACTCGTGTGTATTTATCTCAAGAAACAGACCGAAAGAAAGCAATGCGGTCTTGTATGACGACGCATTGGGACATTTGGCCAACAATGCTAGACAGGACGTGACAAGACATTACGGAAAAAAAGAAAGAAAAAAATACATAGTTTGTTAACGACATTAGTAAACGAACAAAACTAAAATAACAGTAATTAACATATTAAAATCGTTTTTACCATAAATTCTTTTTGTTAATTACTATTGTATGTAAAGATATAGTATACTATTTTATCGAAGGTGTTCTTTATTTATATAAAATAATTTATAATAATTGAAATTTATATATAATTATATATTATGATGTATAATAATAATTACATAACCGATATTCTTTCACTAATTGTGATTTCTCACTGAAATGCGTATTCGTTCGCATTCAGTTATAAATGAATTTAAATTCGGTAAAAGTGCATTTAATCGAATGTAATTAAAATTTCATAATCAATATAACCTAATTATAAATATAAATATTTATATATATCCAGCTTATTTAAAGATTTACTACGATCGAATATATATATATATATATACATACACGTATATAATACGTGCATATACATCATGAAATAATATATTACAATTGTATATTTCTAATAAAATTGTAAAAAAATTGTGCGTGGAAATTGGTTTGTTTCAGTGATACCACAAACGTGTACATATAAAGGAACAACATTCGACTGTGGTCTTAGTATTAGTTGTGTTCTTGGAGGCGGTCGTCCAGTCGATCTTTGTTCCGGAGGGTTAATATGGAGTTGTTGCGTCGATGATGATGACATTCCTGATAAAGTACCACGACCAACAATTGGATTATTACAAAATGCTAGTGAGTTTTTACCGGCTCTTTATTCAATTTTTTTCTTCGACATTTCATTCAAACCGTGATTAGCTGTGTCGAATATCAGGTCGAATATCTGTCGATTAATTCCTCTTTCCTCAATTTTGAAGATGTATCGTAAAGGACAATCTTTTTCTTATAAACTATATAAATCAATCAAAACTAATGTAAACAACGATTAACTTTAATCTTTGAATTATTTGTAAAAAATTTTTATCTATATGTATTATCTATATGTAATGCATTCGTGATAATGTGTCCATCAATATGCTATTTCTCAACAATTTTAAGCTCATTAAAATTGACAAAGAGGAAATTAATCAATTTGATATCATCGAATATCATTATCCTTGGTTGATCATCACTTACAAATCTTTCGCGATAAAGATAATTTTAAGTTTAATAATTTAATATAGTTTAGGGGAGAGAAAAGGAAACGAATAGAAAAGTGCAACGATACATAAAATAAGAATTGCGTATCAACTTGATGTCTTCTGCTTTTAAATATGTGAAAACAATTAATTGTGATTAGAAATGAATACATACAGTGTACGTGTAAATTATAGTAATGTTTTTGGACCAAGCGAAAATGACAAAGATTGGCGAAAAAGAGGGTAAAATCGAAGTTGTTTAAACGTAGCGCTTTCGTTAAACTTGGCAAATCAACATCCCTATGTGGACGATGATGTGCAAATCTACGACAATGCGGCAAGGCCGAGCAAGCCAACATACAGTAGTCAGGATGAGCATGGAACGAGCTACCCGTATGCTGACATCGCGAACAAACCAACAACCATTTATGAGTCTTCGCATATATGGAATTATGATCGGCCTGTGTATACGAATCGTCCATCGGTTTATCATCCGCTCCAGCTTGATTATCCTCAGGATGAATATGATGCCACTTACCCCGATGTTTCGGGAATGAACATCCCAAACGAGGACGTCTCAAACTCCGTGGATTATTCCAAATATCGTGGTAATCCGCAAGTCAAGTTGCACAGTCAAAAGTTTTGCACTGCGAATATTCTATTCCGAATTTTTTCCCGAATTATCTATCTATGATGTTGTTTCTGATTATCGCTTGAAAACTGTATTAGATTTTTTTTCTAAATAACAACGTATATATAATATATATGATGTACTCTTAAAATTTCTAACATTTAAAATTTGATTACCAACGATTTTTTTGATCGACAAATGAAAGAATTTTCTCTTGAATTTTTCTCGTATAATAAGTGTCTGTCTACGAAATGAAGAAAGCACGTTTCTTCGCTTGATATTTTCCTCTGTTTCACTTTGCACGTTTCCGTATGTGGCTTTATTGCTATTATTCACATACAAAATAAATATCAGATGAAGGATAATAAGAAAATAAAAAATGAAAAAAAAGAAAAGAAGAAAAAAAAGGGTGGGAAATTTAATGTTCACGCGCTATTAATAATAGCAGAAATGAGCAAGAAACATAAAATCAAAAACCGAAAAATACTTGGAAATGTATTTGTGATATCAGATATGTGTATATATATATCTATTGGCTATCTTATAGTAGGCTTATTACCTTTTTCTGTGATCACATGCATTACATAAGCTTTATTTTTCATAGTAATCCATAAAAATATCATAAGCTTTCATATTTTTTTACAGGTTGCGGTGAACTTTATACAAGAAGTAATAGAATCGTGGGTGGACACAGTTCCAGTTTTGGTAGTCATCCATGGCAGGTAGACTTATCTCAAAGAATCATTCTATAAAATTTGATAGATTTTTATGACAGAAAATTAATATTTTTTTAATTTGTTCTTTATATATATATATTTATTTTATACTTTTTACCTTCGATTTTTAGGCTGCTATTATTAAATCTGGATTCTTAACAAAAAAATTATCATGCGGTGGGGCTTTACTCAACAACAGATGGGTTGTTACTGCCGCCCATTGTGTAGCAACGTTAGTATAATGAAATACATATGTGACAGAATTATATATAAAAAATTTTTAATCCAAAAAATTGTATTTAATATTTTTTTTTCTTTTTTTCATATAGAACACCAAATGGTAATTTGAAAGTGCGTCTTGGTGAATGGGATGTTAGAGATGCATCCGAACGATTGCTACACGAAGAATTTAATGTTGAAAGGAAGGAGGTAGATAAAAGTTAAATTTTCAAATTATGAGTGACAACACATGTATGTAGATGTGTGTATTGAAATAAACAAAAATGATAAGTAGAAGTAGTTTGAAAAAAAGCAAATTTGAAATAAATAATCTAGATTTATTATTGAAAAAATTATAGGTTCATCCACAATATTCACCGACCGATTTCCGGAATGACGTAGCATTAGTAAAACTTTCGAGAACAGTGGCGTTCAAACAACACATCGTACCTGTTTGTTTGCCGGCGAAAAATCTCAAAATTTCTGGACGTACGGCAACAGTTGCTGGTTGGGGTAGAACGCGACATGGGCAAAGTTCAGCACCAACGATTCTTCAAGAAGTTGACGTTGAAGTATGTATTTATATTTTATAGACGTATGTACATACATTAATACGAGAGTCAAAAAATAAGTTTTATGTAAACTTAAACTCGGTGAAAATTATAACATCATTTCATTTTGTTATATTCATATTTTTGATTTAACAATTGCTTTTTTTTTATCAATCATGAAATATGTCGCGTTTGTCAAAGGTATCGTTCAAATTAAAAATCCAATATGAGTAATAATATTATCAAGTTTCATCAAAATAATTTTAATACACAAAAAAGTCTAGACGAATGCAACTCACTTTTTGACTCATCTTAATAATATATTCATTTTTTCTATTTAAACTGGAAACGAAATAACTTTCAGGTAATTCCTAATGAAAGATGTCAACGTTGGTTTAGAGCAGCTGGAAGGCGAGAAACTATACATGATGTTTTTTTATGCGCAGGTTATAAGGAAGGTGGGCGAGATTCTTGTCAGGTAAATTAAATTTATAATTTAGATAAATGTGTGCGATATTATAAAAGATAAAAATATCTTATTGAATAATTCAAATATTAATTTTGTTTAAATAGGGAGATTCTGGTGGTCCTTTAACTATGTCTGTAGAAGGAAGACATGTATTAATCGGTCTTGTGTCATGGGGTATTGGATGTGGTCGTGAACATTTGCCTGGTGTATATACGAATATTCAGAAATTCGTCCCCTGGATCGACAAAGTTATGAGTTAAATTTCATAATTCAAAAACATGGAAAATATAAGTAAACTGCAAGAATTATTTAAAGAATTATTATTTAAAAATGCAAGAATAATTTAAAGAGATGACGATATGCAGAAACGATAAAAGTACTTTATAATATAAGTACTTTAATTATTTTCTAAAAGAAAGTATTTATATGTTTTTTATTATTTTTTTTTTTTTTTTGATAATATCAATTGGAATACAATCTCCGGATTATTAGGGAAATTTTTGTTTTTTATTTCTGCAAAGCAAATAATAAAATAAAAAAGAAATTACAATGCTTCAAAATTCATGCATTTCTTATTTTTATTATTCAATATAATTCATTCATTTTTAAAACTTTGATCAATTATTTGTGATTTTGATCAATATTTATTTATAGGTATTTTTTTTATCTACTGAAGTAAAAAATTTTTATATAATATAGTTGTTAATTAAATTTGATTTAAAATTTCGAAATTTCAAAATTAAATTAAATTATGAAGATAATACAATTACCTAAGAATATTTTAAAACTGATTAAAACTGAAATTATTAACATTATATCCTTGAATGAAACAAAAATAAGAATTTAATTAAAAGTTTTTTTATTACGTTCAAGAAAATGATATTATCGAGAAAAATTATCAAAATTATCATCGGTCGATATATAATTCATATTCTCTTAAGATATGAGTTGAATTTGAAATGATTATATAAAAATATTTAACACTGAAAAAGAAAGAAAAAATTAATAATAAGAAAATTTTTACATAACATAATATTTTATTATAGGAAAATTAAAAGTGAAATTTGTTGGTAAAAAAGGAATGATAAATCACAAATGATAAAATAGAATCGGTTATGTTACGTGTACATAAATATAAATAATAAATATATATAATATGTAATATAGATATTAAATATATTACGTCATATTAAATATTATTAATTAAAATCAAAATGATTTGTTAAAAAAACTAAAAGAATAGAATAAAAAACATTCAATATTAATTACAATAATATAGATAAATTAGACTAACATAAAATATATATATATATATATATATAATAATTAACAGTTATTAATATTTTATCTCAATGAAACAGTAATAATAATTAGTTAAGAAGATAACTCATTCAAAGATATTAAAAATATTGAAAAATATGATTTGATAAGTAATCAGACATTAATTAAATATTAATAAGGATATATGTATAAATGAGCAAATTAATCAAATTTGAAATGATTGATTAAATGATAAGTGAATGAATGGTTAATGAATGATTAAGTATGTAATTTAATTAATTAAATTGTCATGTCAATATAAGCGACAGATGATGGCTATTACTAATCGTGAAAAGTATCTTATTTTTGCTTGTCAAAAGCTGAGCAACAATCGGATAAAACAAGAAGAAATTGTCTTGCAAAAAGAGAAATATAGATTAGATAAATATGTAAGAAAATATAAATATTAACACGTAGAAAGAGAGAGAGGGACATATAGAAAAAAAAGTAATAAAATAGATGAGAGGAGAGAGAGAGAGAGAGAGAGCTGTGGAAAACAAAGAGCGAGTAGGTGAAACGTCGAGACGTGGGCGGAGGGTAAGTTGCTAATTAGAGCCAGATTAAACGCTTGTCTGGGGAACCATTTTCCTTGCCGTTCCTCGCCGTTGCTCGCTAGAAGACGAGTGCGAAGAGAAAGAGAGAGACAGAGGAGAGAGAGAAGGAAGAGAACCAACCATGCTCTAGAGTAGGGGTGGAAAAAAAGAAAGTAGGAAAGGGTGGCTAAGGTTGCAACAGGGAGGGGATAACTCGACTCCGGTTGGAGGCAGGACCGAGCTTAATGAAAAGTGTTTGCCCCGTAAAAGTTAAGATTAATTGGCGCTCGGGGGATGGTTACCGCGGTAATCAGCCAGTGCCAGTGGTTTTCAAACGTAAGGTACATACTTGTTTCGCGTTAAATTGTATCTTGTTACGTTTTCGTTTTTTACTATTTCCTATCATTTTTGCCTGTTCAATTTTATTCCGACATAAGGTCTATATCTATCATTTTCTTTTTTTTCCACACGTTACGTTAATTTTCTATACGAGCTAATTTTATTTTAATATCCATTTAAATAGATGAGAAATACACATTTGTTAAAATGGATGACGTTTTATAATATAAAATGATAAAATCGATATTTAAAAGCTCCAATCGTAACACGACTGCAATTGCTTCCGCGGTTTCCGTGGATTTCGTGGTTCTCGTGGCTTTTGTGGCTTTTGTGGCTTTTCGTTTGATAAGTTATACGTGTATAAATACGTGCACACTATAAATTATGAAGTTGAAATATACGAAATTGTTTCCCTAGATCGAGATACCGTACCGATTTCAATTTCAGTTGAGCATTACTGAAACGAGAGGTTAATTTGGCGACACCTAGTTTCATTAACAACGCCATTAAAAGTAATGGGCGGTGAGGGCCGAACTTGACGATGCGGCCACATGGGGGCCGGAAGATTCTAATTAGGAGATAGACCTCGAACTGCGGCGAGGGTCGAAGAGTTGGAAAGTCGAATGCAAGACAATATTTGGAAAATGAAAGAAGTAAGAAATTAGCCAAAATACGAACGGAAAGATTATTTAAGTGTTGCATCATTCGATGTTCGTAAAATTATTCGTAATTGAATATTGCTTGTTCAAAATCGCACGATACGTGTCTATAGTTGGCAATTAAGAATTTTACACGTTCGAGATATGTATATGTATATATATATTAATTTAAAATGATTAAGTAAATCTTTGTAAACGTTTATTATATCACTATAATACGTGATTACACATTGTCGAATAATTATCACCTTTCGACTCTCGTGTTTCTCCAGATTTCTCGATACTTCGTGTTTTCCAATACATACTTTGAACCGTTTAAACAAAAACCGAATCTAGCAAAGAGGATAAAGTATGATTAACAACATTTACATATACACGAAACACTGCCAAATCGATACATGACATCAATTAAGATTTATCTATCGCGGGCGATACCTAATCAAAGTATTAATCAAACAATCTTATCCCCAAGATAAAAACAGATGAATTAACCATCAAGTCGTTAATTACTTTTGGGATAACAAGACTTTGGATGGTGTTTGTCCTAAATTGTTATCATTAAATAATATGTGAAAGTTACGACCAATTATAATTATCAATCCTCTAAGTTTAATAAATCGAACTTTGTACTTCACGCAAACACATTTCACGTAAGTAATACGTGTGCATAGATACAATTTATATACCTAACTATATATTATTATTAAGTAGTACAAGCAAATGTGATGAACGTTTCATATTTTTTAATCAAATTATTTGAAGAAGAGAAAGAAAGAAAACAAGAATGCAAACTAGATTTTGAAAATTTGAATTTATCTAGCGAGTTTGAAGAAGAAGGGGCAAAAAAAGGGGAAGAAAAATAAGCTAGGTTTATCGTGACGAAGCATAATCACCGGTCAAAAATTTGTGTATTTGCTCGATAGTCAAAAGTTGAAGGGTGCTACCTGCATTACATACACACACTATACGCGCACACACGTGCACATGCATAAATGCACGTGCACGTAAAATTGAGAATTGTCAATCATAAAGAGATGTATTTAATTACTGCGACTTAAAAAAATAATCGAGTTATTACAAAAATTAATTAAAAAGATTTTATAAGTTTATATATAGAAGAAATAGTGGGCAGGATATCGATGATCCCATAGATGAAAATATATGTTAAATAAGAAATAAATAATAATAATAATAACGTTTGCCGAAGAAGAAATAAAATATAAAAGTAGTTCATCGATCTACGAATAATACATATTATAAGATGGGTAGGTATATTAGGAGACATGTTTAAAATTTTCATTTCGTATATAGGTATACGTACGTGCCTCGATCCTTAAGTAAATAATCTACCCTCTCTGTATTATTTGGTTAAAAAGCGGTCACCGGTGAAGTTGTACCGTTTGCCTTCGACTCGTATACTTATAGGTAGATATACACATAGTATACCTAAGTACTTTAGTTGCGCTGCAATTTGTGAAAAATATACAAGGAGTCATAACAAAACGTAAAAGGTACGTAGGTGATTTATCATTCTTTCAAACACGCAACGAATTTATCCATATTAATTTTGTAATAAAAACAAATTGACTTATTAACGAAAAGTAAAATCGGAAAATAAAATATTTACGTGTGATCCGAACAAGGATGTAATATAATAGATGTAATAGTCGTATAAAAGTGTAACTAATATTTTTTCTAGAATAAGTGATATGAAAAAACATAATTGTTCTTTCAGTGTGTCGGATTGTATTTTGTCTCGAAAAATATATTTTTCTCTCTCTCTTTCTCTCTCTCTCTCTCTCTATTTTTAGTTTAATAGGTAAGTATATAAGAATTGAAATCAATCAATCTCGATAAGAGAACGATATTTGAGAAAACTGGATACGTTAGACTAGACACGGTGAAAACGAATAGACTTTTTATCAGTAGGATAAGCAAATGCGCCGTTAGGACCCACGTAAAATATCGCACGAGAACCGATAACAGGCTGATTACTCGAAAACTGGGTGTGATACCTATTATGCTGCTATTAGTTGCTCGATAAAACGGCAGATATCACCGATATTTCTTTGAAAAGAATTGTGGACGAATGCAATAAACAGAAAATGAAGAATTTGGTAGATAGATATTAAAAAAATCTATATATATATATATATATATATATATAAAAAAAAAGTATTCGTTCTCTTGTTCTCATTTAAAAGAATCGCGTAGCAAGCACCGCATACCGATCTTAACTAGGCTTGTATTCTGCAGTCGTTGTTGAATTGGGCGAAAATCTTGTTTCGTGAGTGAGAATTCTCTCCGTCTCTCCTTACTCTAATTTTCTTCTTTCTTTCCTACAAACCTCTCGTCGCCAGTTGGAATATCGCTTTGCCCTCTTCTTTCCTTATCACTTTTATCCTTTTCTATTCCTTTCTATTCTTGATAACACCTTTTCCAATTACTCTTTTAACCTGTCTCGTCTTCTCTTTCTTCTCATGCCTCTTTACTTTTCGTAGAGACAAGAGGTTCAACGACTTGAAATACGCACGTATTACCTTTAATGTCAAACGTACGCTTGTTTCATATTAGAAATCCACTAAACTCCGGACGAGGTATCGATCCTCTACTAGTTTCCTACTAGAAATCCATACAAAACAGAGGCTGAGAGTTAGTCAAGAATTACGAAAACGTTTGAGAATGTAACGAGTATAATTTGGTTATTTTTTCTAAAATCCGCTAGATGGACACTGCGAATACTATCGAGAATACGATTCCAAATTGCCATTCTCAATAACGCGCACCGCGAATAAATAAATTTCAAGAGTTTCACTCTCGAAATGTACCTTTATGATATCCCCGTTCGTTGAACGGTGACGAATCTGGAATCGAGAATGATGAATCGTGGAGTCGAGAATCGGAAATCAGAAATTGTGAATCGGAACTCGGTTTCTCGAGGGGCGAAGGGAGAGGGGGGGGCGGAGAAGGGACGGGGGAGGGAGAGGGGGGGGGGTCGGGAGAGGCGATGGTGGTGTCGAGACTGTGGAATCGGGACTCGAGATTCGGGACTCGAGGTTACGAACCTATGGGACCGGGTAGGCGAGGGTGGAGGGGGAGGAAGGGGATGGTGTAGGCGTGGCAGAATCGCGAGGTTTGCCGCGATAGGCGTGGCAGAATGGAGTGACCGCGGAAACTCGGTAGCAGAGGGGAGCGGTTTTCCCGTTACGGACACGCGGTTCCTCGCAACGTCACTTTGTGGTGCGGCTTCGAGTTAATCGCTCGTATTGCCGCGAAATCAAAACCGTTCGTCATAGGCGCACGTTCGTTGGTCGTTGGTCGTCGTACGTACACGATAGCACGGTGAAAATAACGGTTTTTCAATGCGATCGAAGACACGCAAGAGATTTCGTTCACCGTGATCCACCGTACGAGAAATTAATTTTTCAAAGCCGATACCGATCGTCAACGTATCCAACTGGCCGATCGGTTGTGCGGTCGTTCGATCGATCGATCGAGTCCCGTACGCCGATCGGAAGTTCATCGATCCGTTTCGTCGATCGATTTGTCTCAACTGGATGATCCCGAGAGAAGTGAAAAGACGCGTTCGAATTACATCCGTGTGAATTGATTCGAAACATAAACATAAAGGTGTTCGTGAAGGGGGAGGGAGGGGGGGGAGAGAGGTTGGAACGAAGCGAGGAATTATCATCATGTGGTAATCGAGAGGAATCGAGAGGCGTTCGATCGTCGTTCAGGAATTCAGGTATGCATTACAACGCCCAAGGGATTTTGGAAGACTCGTATCTGCGGCAACGACAACAGCAAGAACATCATCATCATCATCATCAGCAACAGCAGCGACAACAGCAGCACACCGGTTACGACGTTCGGCGAAAGATTCGCGATCGAAGTTGTTCGCCGGGGTCGGATGAAGTGCGGTCACCTGGTTCCGAAGTGAGGGGAGGAGAGGGTGTCGGATCACCGGAAAATATACGTTTGATCGAAAACGGCTCTCCTTCGGAGCTCGAAGACGAATCGCGAATGTCGAGGTATCGCGAGGAAAATGAGGGGAAAAAACCTTCGTTCTCGAAGCAGGAAAACGAGCCGGCCAGTTTTTTTCGGGACCCGAGCGAAGACACGAGTGTGAAGTGTTCCTTCACCGAGGAGATGGTGTCCGCGGCTCGTTACGGGGAGCCGGATAACTCGCCCGGCAGGATCTCCCCGCAAGAGTACGCGGTTCACTCGACCGTCGAGAGCAGGCGTCACAGTTCCTTCGGTAAGACATCTTTCTGCATCGACGCGCTCCTCGGCCGTGCGAGCGGAAAACAGCAGGAGAGCAATCTCGACCACGAGCGATCCGAACGAGCGAATCAAAGATTGTTATTCGGGGCGACGAGAAATTCCCTCGTCGAAGCGAATTCTTGCCTGGCCAACTCCATAATCGGTGACCGGGAATCATCCTCCTCCGCTCTCGGTGGTATAAGCGGTGGCAGCGGGATCGGTGGCCGCGGTGCAGGTGCAGGCGAGATCGAAACTGGAAGCGGAGTTGGGATCGGGATTGGAAATGGAAGCACGCTTATCGGTACCTCCTCCGTCAGAACGGAGGATCAAAGAGCATCGTCTCTCGGCAATCTTTTGAGCAACCCGTTCGACAGATCCGTCGTGCAGCACGATCTCTCCTCGCCGTCCAACCTGCAAGTTATTCGCGAGGGGAGCAGCGACAGACAAGATATTCGTGAACGGCCCGGCCATTTGTCGTCCGGTATCCGCGTCGAGTCCGTCGAGGAGTCGAAGGCAGCTTTCAAAGGGGGGGAGAGCGGGGGCAACGGAGGATTTCGCGTCGATCGTTTCGAAAACATCGAGGACGAGGCTTCGATCGAGGTTGATCCTACGAGAACCGGAAGCGCGAGTTCGGGGGGAGCAACGCGAGCCACAGTCCCATCTCGAGCCCTCCGATCTCGCCAGGATCGGAGGAGCCCAGCGGCAACGCTATACCTGGTAATCCGAATTTACCTAGTGGTCATTATGGCGCGCTTGGCAGTGGTGCAGGGGTGACCCGACAGAATCAAGCGCTTCTCTTACATCCGAGTGGTCCCCTCATACATCCCGGAGGATTATATTATCATCCTGCGGGTGGTAGCGCGTTTCATTCGATACACAAGGAAGGACAACCCGTCGGACATTCGCAGAGTGCCGGTGCTCATCCTCAGCAGCATCACATCCATCCACTCCAACTCGAGTGGCTGGCTAGGACTGGAATGTTATATCCCAGATTACCCGCCGATTTAGCCGGTGAGTTGGTGTGGTAATCTTAATTTTTCACCTCGATCCGTGAATGCTTTCATCCGTTCGTGCATCCGATTCTCTTTATTTTTAAAGGACCGAAAAGGACCTTCGCATGTTTTTTATCTATACAGCGAGTCATAGAATTATTGATGTGGGTATTTATAAAAGACAAAGCATTATTAACTGACGGGTTCGTAAAAGTACTTTTGATTACTTTTTTTTTTTTTTTTTAGAATATTTAACGATATTTATTTTTATAATTATAAATAACAAGGAAATAATTTCGAATGTTTTTATTCTATATAAGAAATATAGGATTACTTTTTGTTATAGTTCAAAAATTTATAATAAGTACGATATATGTTTATATTAAAAATTAATAATTGTAGAAATGAAAAATATTGTAATTTGAAAAAGCAAATTTGCACTTAAGAACTGTTATGACTATAATTAATTTTTTATTTTTCGTATTAATAATTTTATGAACTTGAAAAAATATTTTATTATTAAGTATTTCATTATTCATTAATTTCAACAATAAATAATAACAATAAATGTTTTGTAAATTAACTTAATTTCACAATACGAAATTCACAATACATTATAAAAAAAAAAGATATTAAAAAGTATTTTTGCGAATCCTTTAATCAATATTTTCTTTTTTTAATATATATATCTATATAATTTTGACATATATATATATATATATTTTTATGCACATAAATTTATCTTTCAAATTATATTTATATTCCAATCGTTAATAACGATGATTTCCAACAATTATATTACGAAAGACAAAAATTTTTTGTCACGTGAAAAATTGAAGTAACACACTTCGATTATAATATTGCTACAATAAGCAATTATTCGTTTATCTCAAAAAATATATTTTCTCTATTCGTTTAATCTTTTCCCATTTCATATTTTCAATAAACTACCAAAGCGTAAACGATTGCTAGAGAAAATAATACACGGATCAACAATCAATACAGAAAGTGTAATTAGATAATCATCTATTTTATTGAATAAAAATTTCAAGTAGACTCGATTACGTGCAAACGAACGAACGAACGAACGAACGAACGAACGAATAATAGAAAATTTTGAGCTTAATTTCGACGCGTATTCATCATGATATTAATCGCGATAAATTAAACTGTTTTTTTTTTTTCGATATCTTGAAATACTTATAAATAGTTAAACGAACGATTAATGAACATATAATATGATTATCGTACTTTGTAATACCTATAGATAATGAGAAAGGAAAAAATATTTCTATAATGATATCTACTTTTTTGAAATGATCGATAAACGATTGAAATACTTATTATAGTAGGTATATATCTGTATTAATAGTTAGATATTAGTACTCTGACTTAAAATTGATATAACAATAGATAAAGTGTCATTTTTGCCTGGACGTTTAATGTTTTAATATTACCTTGACAACGTCATAAAATAGATCGACATATTGCTTATACAATAGGCAGATAGCGAATGTTTACATGCTTAATGTAACACTTTACTATATTGACTGGCTACTCAAATTTTTAGGTCGGTTGTCAAATGATATAATATATAGGGAATAAGTTTTGCGGCATACTTTTTAAAATCCCTATCACGATTTTATTTAAAGTAGCATTTATTTATTTCAAAATTCTTCTTTTTCCCGTTTCTTTTTCAAATATTCGATGATTGGCAGCATCGAGAAACTTTCATCATTTCCACATTTTTCATATTCTTCTATCTGAACAAGATTTCAACCAAATAACAAACGTTACCAATCTTTACAAAAAAAATTGCCAAGAATAAGTAATAAATTTAATTATAAATCACAAATAATGAAAAAAAAAAAATATTAGGATTAATCAGAACCGTGTCTAAAGCTTGGGCCTACTTTGAATCTACTTTTTTCATCGTCGCTGAATACGGACGAAATAACGCTAAGAAAAGTTAAGAATAAAACAAAGGGGGGAAAAAAGAATGTCAATAGAAATCAATCAAAAAGTACACCACGCACATACCAACGAAACGATATGATATTTACTTAGACGTTCGGTGGAAAAGCACCGAGAGGAAAAAAAGGAGATGATTCCGGTTACTACTACTACGGTAAATTTCACGCTTAGAAAAAAGAGCGTGGTCGCGTTGTCCGGCCAATCAGTCGAAAGCTTTTATCGAACAAATTGGTCGGTGAACGTAGCAGACCAGGATGCCGAGATGGACCGAATCCGAATAAACGGGGAACGAGAAAGAGAGTGCGGAACGGGAGAGAGAGAAAAATGGGCAGAGAGGCGGGAGTAAACGGAACGCGATTGTGTGTATGTATGTATGTGTATGCGTTTCAGCGAGAGAGAGAGAGAGGAGGAGAGAGCGAGCGGTGTTAGAACGAAGTGGCGGGGTACTTTCTGTCAGATGATCCTGATTGGTAGTTGCCGAGCAATCCAACGTCGACGAAAAAGGCGAAAACCCGATAGCGTAAAACGAGCAACGAGTACAAAAAAAAAAAAAAAAAAAAAAGGTTCTCGCGGAATAAAATAAAACGGTTGCATTCGCCCCACCTGAAGCGGCCGTTATCGCGTCGGTAGGGAACACGAACACGACTTGTTAAAAAATTGCTGGATGGGAGTATCGTCCCGTTCAGCCCTTTCTCCTCCCCTCCTTCCATCTCCTCCTCCTCCTCTCTCTCTCTCTCTCTCTCTCAACAGTAGTCTCGCATTCTCGTATGCTCTCGACGTTATGTAAATAACGATGAGTACGCGACTCAGCGGCTCGGGAACGGTGAGCTGACACGAGGAGGGAGAGATAGGGTGGAAGCAAGAGATGTGAGCTTTTATTTGTGGAATATTTGTCGCGCGTTACACCGACGAGGATGTATACCGGCGGCGATCAGACGATCGCGCTTCGTCTATTTTGAGCCGAGCTTTACGGTATTGAAATTTAACTAGAGCGAAACGCCATCTCGCCATCTTCTATATCCCGACATCTCTGCCTCAACTGTACACTAAAAACTGTTTCTCGTATCACCGCGTGTCCATTCACGCGACACCAGTTTGCATTCGGATTAATCGAAATCGACCGAAAACAACTTTTCAACGTGTATGACAGGTATCTAATTTTTAAGTTAAGAAACGCGGGAACGTTCTCGGTGTTGATGTTTGTTCGATTCGATAATTTTCGACGATAATTTTTAACTGTTTATTCCAGTCTAATTTGATATAATGTATATATGTGTATTTTTTTTAGACAGAACTTTAAGTTTCTATCGTATCTTATTTCGGATTCTTATCCTTGTACATATCTAAATTATATATTATTTTTTTCACTTGGTTATTAAGGAGAAGTATTTAAAAAATTACTAACATTCGTAAATAAAACTTTTTAATGACATTTGCGAACAAATCATAATTTTGATTGATTTTCTAATCAATTTGCAGAGAAATAAAGTAATTTTTGAGCAAGCGTTCAATTATTACAATCAATGATTAAAACATACATTAAAACTTTACTCGATAAATCATTCAGTCTATTCATTAATTTTATAACTTCGATTGCAAAATGACATGAAATTTTAAATCTTTACTATCATTTCATATCGTTTTGAAGATGAACGTAATTTTTGGAATATTGTAAAATCTATTAAGAAAGTTATTGTGTAATTCTCTAGAACTAGTGAATTAACTATTACGAAAGACCACAAAAAAAAAAAAGAAGAAAGAAAAACAGTGTGAATGCAAACAATTTCAATTTATCTTTTATCATCAGATATATCTATTATTTCAATTTGACTTGTCAACTCTCACTTCAAATTTTTGTCCTTCGCTGGAATGATTCGCTTTGCGAGATACGGTGAAAAAAATAATGGCGGAAGATGTCGAAGAGATGGGGTAGGAGGTCTGCCAACAAAAGGGGATGATACCCGAGAGATGAAGCACGCGAAGGGTTGGTGGATGATTTAATTAGTTAATTGTGCGTCATTCATCCGTCTATTCATCCCCTTCGCCCTTCTCTCCACGATAGTACAACGCCGACGCAGACGTTCTAAGGTTACCATGGAAACTCCACGGACTTACATAGACCGTTCCAACAGCTAATTTCGTCCATATTTAAAACAATCCAAGAACGTAAATCGCTTTTATTCGAATTTTTGTCGAATGTTTTGTCAGTTGCTTCGCCAATTTCTTCGGCAAAATGAGGAAGAAAAAAAAAAAGAAAAGAAAAAAAAGAGGAAACTCTCGATAACGAAATCTCAGATTAAATCTCTTCTTCGCAGATAATTAGATTATCATCTGTACACGGATAAGTTGTGACAAACTTATTGACAATTAGGAGGAAGATATGAAGCATCCAGTAACTCAGAATTTATCTACGCGAGCCTTTTTTATTATAACAATTAAAAGGGAATCATCTGAAGTGGATTGGATTTGCTGCATCTTTGCAAAATTCGTTGCATATCTTTTGCCAATGGATAAAAAAACTATGGTGAATAAAAAGTATCGGAGAATTTTTATTTCCAATGTTTTTAAATGGTCTCGACGAATTCTTTATATTGAGAATATAAAAATAAAGAATACTTTAGTTTTTCTTAACTCAGCAGTATCCGTTGTCTTAGCACTTATTGTTGCTCATTTTTGTAACTATTTAAAAAAAAAAAACGATGCATCCTCGATTTCGTTAAATTTTCAAATAGAATAGTAAAAATCAAAATTTTGAACAAAATCAACTACATTCCTTAGAGATATTTCATTTTTTCTTCTCGTCAGTCTCAATAGAAACCGTGAATATTAAATTTGTTATTAATTCCTCTAATCACCTTACTGTAATGCACAACTGCATCTACACTTATATCTAGAGTTACACTTAGGATGTTGGATCTAGCCGCGATTACACAATTGTACGCGATATCGTCGATGACAGTCGAGGAATGAGAATTAATTGCGCACCCATACGCGTACAGGAAAGATGGTAATGTGCTCAAACAGGAGCACGCGGCGTGTATGGCGCGTTGAGATCGGAAACACACGCAGGGTTATCCAGTGTGTATGGAAACGTTGGCGCTGGCAACACGTTGAAAACGTCTAGTGGCGTTACCAGTAGCGGTCGCGTCAGTCTACCTGTCTATAGGCATGTAGGCGGTAATGGTGTTTCTGAATTAGCTGCCAGCTAGTTTGGCCGCCCGCAAGCAAACAGATCTTGGTTACCCGATGTGTAACGTTCCACGTTCGCCCAAACCATCCTATATCTCTATGATCTGGCCTGATCGTGTGCTGTAGCCACATGGGCGCGTGCAAATGGTGACGGTAATTCGAGAGATTCCCCGAAAAAAAAAACTACTCTCGAGAACTTCTTTCGAAAGTATTTTTTCTTTGCGAGAAGAAGAACGACACGACACTTTCACTCGTGAAAATTCTATTCTCATTCAGATATATTCGAAGAGATATCCCGAAACGAAACGATTCTCTTTTCGAGCCTGTTACGATAGATCTTGTAATTAAAGGGGAGGGAAAAAGAATGGCCGGTAATGGGTGGTAAAAATCATCGATCGCACGGGCGATTAGATACCTGGTGTATCGTTTAACGGGGAAAGAGGGACAGGAGGGAGACTATCCCAATTCGTAATCCGATGATAAAAGTAAATGGCAGCATTCTGGATGTTTATGACGTGATTCGTGGTGAGTTCACGGACCGAGTTTGAAATTAAATCCGACCATTTTGGGGGTAGGGAAAATAATCTCTGACAAAAGTTGGCCAACTTTTTTTTTTCTCCTCTCCTTGGTATTCATCTCGCCCTCGCCACTGGCTTCCACGGATCTCCAATCGTATGGCGCAAAGGAAGCGGAGTCGATGACGTCTCGCGATCAAGGGATGCAGAGGGATGGTGGATACCGCCGACGTTACCCTCGCCTCGTCTTCCTTCACCTCTGATACGAGGGGTTGAGAATTTGGGGGCGGTCGTATCGAGCACTCAGGGCTGCAGGCGGAGCTTCCACCGCTATACGAGACAAGGGGAGGGAGAGGAAGATCTGGTACAAACGCGCGCGCGCGCGCTACCACGCGACGCACGCACGCACGCACGCACGCAGCCACGCAACGGCTGGCTGTTCACACCCATCAAGGGATACCAAGAAAGGATAGGAAAACAAGAATCGAGCAAGAAACACGGGGAAATGAGATCGATCAAAAGAGCGGAAAATTATATAGGAACGAGGATACGGAACGAAGCTGCTACGTGTGCATTATAAACTAAAGCCGAAACTTGGATTGTCGAGTCGGAAAAATGGAATTGTAGATAACAAGGCGATTTATTTATTTTACGGTGTGTGTGCAGAAATATGAACATGCATATTATATACCATTTAAAGAAAAAATTATTACTTTTCGAAGACTTGTATATTTTCTTTGAAAGCGAAAATAAACGTGAAATCAATTTGAGACAAAGCAATGATTTTTCAATGCAAATTAAAGGAAGAGGAAGAAGAAGAGATGAAAAACCGGCAATCGCGAAATTGTTGAAAGAAATTGGAAAATGTACACTTGGCAAAGTAAGAGGGTGGCAAAAAGGAAGAGAAGGGTGAATATGAGGAATAGAGGGATGGGATCGCGTTAAGTACAGATAATGGCTGGTGTTTACCGGTATGGTGATCAGCATGATTTAAGAGCGGCCTGGCGTGAAGCGGCTAATAGGACCCCAAATAAATTAAATTATCATGATAAAAGTGTAGCGGGGTGAGAACGACGTTAACCTTAACGACACCCCACTGCTTCCACCCTGCACAGAGGAGCACGAAAATGGTGATTGTCCACTCGATGGTGCCGCCCTTCTTGTTTACCGACATCTGTCATAACTCGCACCATTTCTCCCTAGCACCTTCGCATTCGTGCAATTTCAGCGGCTTCCCAGCACAATTCGTCGTCGATGCTTTCGCTTTCAATTCGGCCGTATTATATAAAAATTAATCGAGAAAACCGCGCCCCTTAATCCTTGATAAGTTTCACATTATATATAACTTTTTTCATTAATAATTATACGCGATTAAGAATTTACCAATTTAATTACCAAACGTGTATTCGTTCTTCGAAAGGATACAAATTTCGTGCACAAATGATATAAATCTTAAGAAATCTTGATGGAGGAGATAGAAATTCGATCTGTCTAGATTGTCACGAAAAATTGTCGAGGTGGAAAATCGTTAAACGGACCATATGTGCTCAGTGGGTGGCAAACCATCCTTTGGAGGGACGATTAATGTATTTATATACACAAGTAGCGAGCGACATAAATAACGAACACCGAACCGTTAAGGGTTTACGCGTTTGAAACTCGCATGGCGTGGCAATATGTTACAGATATATCGCTGTAATTTGATTCGACAATTTTTTCTTTTTTTTTTTTACTTAAAAAACAAGAAGAAAGACAGAGCATTCTTTTTTCCTGAGCTAAGAAGAATATGCGATACGAGGAGAGGTGTCGTCGCAGCGATTTATTTTTCGAAGGCGGAAAAATAGGGCCCACGGTATTGAATGTTTGACTAAGCGGCTGATTAAGAGTGACATAAGGGTATCGCACGTTCCAGATTAATCCGACAATGTGTGTACGCGCGACTAAACACTGCCATGTGTACAAACATTGACAGCCGGTCACGCACTTGCTGTGTAGTTAAATTGGTAGGACAATTCGTAAGCTGAAAGCATTTAAGAGGAAAGAGTGTGCGAGGTGGGCCCACACTGTGAATCTTACCATCGCACGTACTTAACGTGCATGAATTATACCTTGCGCGTGCGTCCATTTTATATGTATTTGTTATATAATTTGTACACAGTTAGGAAAAAGGAAATCACGATTTTTTAAATGTTTTTTTCTCAATGCTTTTAAAAAAAAAATGCCAAAATTAGAAATTCGAAAATGTACGTGGGATTCTAATAAAAATATAAATATAAGTAAGAACGTAAAAAGCTCGATACTGATTCGATATTGAGAATCATCGGTCCCATTCCATCACATTGCAAAGAATTTACTCGAATTTCGAATTGTGATTTATTACGTGTAGAAAGTCAGAAAGGAGAGAAGATCGGGTCTGGCCAGAAGAATCGTTCATAGGGCTAATCGTTAGGGCGGTCACCCTCGTCTCTTCCCTCTCCAATTTGCCCCCCTTCCTATTTTCAACCCCAAATCATAGTATTGCAACCTAGAGGGGAATTTACGCTCGTGGTAATTGCATTAGCATTCGATGATTTTTATTGGTTTCGATTAATATTAATTTAAACGATACAGCATTATAGCAACAACAAGTAGAGATATCCCCCCATTTCCTCTTACCTTTTTTTTTCCCCCACCTCCACGCCCCCCCACCCCTCTTTTCGAGGCAAATAAAACGAATTTATATATTCTTGTTACAAGTTAAACAATGCAATGCAATTATTATCGACAGGTTGCGCAGCCCAACATGCCCTCCTTGGAAAAACCAGAAGGCCGAGGACCGCTTTCACGTCGCAACAGTTACTCGAATTGGAGAAACAATTTAGACAGAACAAGTACCTAAGCAGACCGAAGAGATTCGAAGTGGCAACCTCGTTAATGCTTACGGAAACACAGGTAAGAAGCATTTTATCAATCAAATTAACGAGATCGCAACGCAAAAATCTTCATAACAATGCAATAACGTTACAATAGTACAATAATGTAATTTATTTCTCGAGTGGAAAATTGAAATGTGTGAAATCGACTCTCAACTTGAATATTTTACAGCTTAAAATGTAATTGTAATTAAAAAAAAAAAAAATTGTTCCATATATATAATCCATTATAAACTACATAGTAAGAATTGTTTCATACAAAACAAAATTATCCTTGATTTTTGATAATTTAACGCAACTTATTAATCATTGAATTAAAACGTGTGAAGATTTCTGTGACTAATTGACTGATATATATTATCGCAATATATACGCCCTCCTTACTTTTCCTTTTTCATTTACTTTCTCTTTTTCTTCTCCACCTTTTTTTTTAAGGTGATACTTCAAGATTACACGATAAAGAAACCTAAATGAAGGGTGAATGAGCGAGTGAGAGAGAAAACGAGACGAGAAGAGAGAATGAAGAAAAGGGAAAAAGCCTCTAGAGAAATCGGTGAAATAATCCAGGGACCCTTCCTTTCCTTCGCGTGAATGTGAACGAGCGAATCTCTTGCATAGTTTAACAACTTAAACATAACTTTGAAGCTTACGTCCTCTGACGGATCGCTCAGCAAACAGCAACGAAAGTCTGAATTATGGGAGACTGAGTCCCTGATTTGTTTCGATATTCAACCGATTCAAGCTCCGGAGCATTTCAAATTGTTCGAATCGTTGAACACACGTTGCGTATCCCTTCCCTATTTTCTTTCAGCATCCTAAACAGAAGAGAGAAAAATCTTAACTTACAGTTAACTGATCATTGTTGATCATCGTTATCTTTATACTATATAAATATCGAAATGCGAAATTGATTTGAAGATATTGTGCACAGAAGAGGTGCAAAGATTTTTCAAATATCATCAATTCCAGTTATTATATATAGATATATCCGTGCAAAGTTTAAACGAATAAGTTAATTTTTTCCTCTTCGTCTAATTATCTAATCGATTAAATCTTTTATTTAGGCTCATTTGTTTTTTTTTTTTTTTCTTTTTTAATTCGATCGCTTTATATATATGATATTGTCAAATATGTATTCGTTCTCGCGAGAAGAAAACGTGTTTCTTTCTCTCAAGGGTGAAATATAGCAGGGCTGGAAATGAGACGGCAGATCTGTTCAAGTACGTGATATGTTGTCCAAAGGATTTATACATCGTTCTCTTGCGGGATTAGGAAAAGAAATATTGAGTTTATGGTATACTTGCAGCCGATTCGGAGAGGGTTGATTAATAGATATATGCGATTTAATATTGGCCGGCGTTCGACCTATTCCTTCTATTGCTCCACTAAATTACATACACCATCTCTCTTCCTTCTCGACAGATACATTCAAGTTTCATCATTTTTAATCGATAATTAATATTTTTATTTTGATTCTTCTATATATATATATATACGATAGATATAATATAATACATGTTGTATCAACAATCGTGTGTATGTGTGTGTTGGGATTTAGGTGAAAATCTGGTTTCAAAATCGTCGGATGAAATGGAAAAGGAGTAAAAAGGCGCAACAAGAGGCGCGGGCGAGCAATAAGGTGGAGGATGGCGGAAATGTGAGAGGCAGCGAGAGAGAAACGGGGAATGATCCGAATCCAAATTCCTCGCCGAGCCCGCAGGAGGAGAGTACGAAAGGAACGTTACAGGAAACGCAAAGAAATACGACCGAGCTTCAAGAGCCACTTTATCGACCGTACGTGGTATAAAACGAAAGTAATAATTGACGTAATGATGTGCCAAAATAAGAACTAAAGATAACCAAGATAAGTTGCCATTTTCGCGTCATTTTCTCGATCGAAACACCTTTCATACTTCGTGGGATCTTCTCCTTTTTTTTGGGCAGTGGGGAGGGGGCAGAGGCGTTGTACGAATATTGGGGGGATTGATCAGATTTCTCGAGGAAAAGAAGATTCGTAAGTGGAATCGCGTGCATGTATATATATATAGTATACAAGAAGTATCGATCAAGTACGTAATACTGGTGTAACATTGGAAAATTTGTATGTAAATATAGGGAACAAAGCTATATAATAATAATAAATTATATTATATAGACGCATATTTATACACGCATAGGTATATACACGCGTTCCCTCGTGTCCATGCCCGTGCTTGCACGCGATCGCTGTTATCAACAGCGATAATGTTAGAAAATTTAATTGAACTTGACTCCTTTACTTATTATTTCCCTTGAATTATTTCGAAACGTTTTACCGATTACCGAAGGTTGGTAAAAAGAAAAAAAAAAAGTGCGTTTTTATCCGGTGTCACGAAAAGAAAAGAAAAAGAAAAAAAAAAAAAGAATACGGCTTGTATTAATAAATCGAGAGCGACGAATCGCAGCAATAGTTGTATAAAATCATCGATTAGAGTTAAGTACGAGGAGATGCTAGAAGATTTTTGACCCTAACACTTCTCCAACGTTGCTCTAGATCCACAGACACTCGAAGACACGTACCTATCTATTTATGATAAATTACATAACTGTAAATAATATTCGTATACGTTTAGGGTAGAAAAGTGCGATGCGAGGACTAACGTCATATTATGTCGCAACAAGTTCCTAAAATAAATCACAAATAGAAGAATAAAACGTATGGGCTTTGTTTATTCCTTATTCATTTTTTTTAAATTCTCGTTCGATGCATCGCAAACAATGAATCGCATTGAAAATTAATTTTTAATTACTTTACTTAACGTACTTGACGTTTCTCATAGTTATGCTTTCTAGATGTTTCTAGATGTCTCTTACGTACTCGTGTCGTTAAATTTTATACACGTGCATATGTATTTTATACATAGTTTTACATAAGCGATCAATCTTTGTTTCTGTAAAAGAAAGAAAAAAAGAAAAAAAAAAAAAGAAAGAAAAAACTTGAAAATATGTACCCATTCAAAGAAGACACGATCATATGTTTCCCACTACAGTTTCCCGTAAGCGTAAGCGAAGAATCATCAGTATTTATGATATGCTAATTTCCCGTTACAAATTCCGCGATGTTTCGCGGATGACTGCTCTTACCGGCTACAGCCAGTGGAAAAACCATCCGTTTGGAAAACCAGTCGTCAACGAAGGAATGGAGAGGAGCAGGAGAGAAGAGAAACTTGGATATAGATATAGATATAGGTTCGTCTGAAATAGTGATCGGTTTCGATTACAGCATTCTCAGAAATCGGTGTTAAACGTAAATAGGAAGAATTACTGTTGATTCGAATCGAGAAAATTTGATGATAGAAAGATAGATTTAAGTAAGTACATATCCCATACACGCAGTACATATATACATATACGTTATGCAGGTATGGTGTATGTATTGCGTGATAATAATTAAAGATCGTTTCTTCTTCGTATTCTTTTTTACAAAATGTAGAGATATATCTAGAAGAAGTAAAGAAAAATTTTAAGGTTTAGAATAAAAAGTTTTAGTACGTACAACTCCTATTTCCTTGTTTTCTTTTTCTTTTTTTTTTTTTTCTACAACAGCTTTATAAAGATTCGCCGATTCTCAAGACATCTAAATGTGAAATATAAAAAATATCGAAGAATAAGATGGATTTGTGCCAAGATACTTTAAAATCTGCTAACTAACTGAATTCTCCGGGCGGAAACAGCAATCTCTTGAATCTATTACACGATTGAGTATTATAAAAAGTAATATTTAATACAAGTATTTTTATTCGCACTTTTCCTTCCTCTTCTCTTTCTCTCTCATTTTCTTCATCCAATACAAAATTTACGTAAAGGAAATGCGTAAGTACTTGTACGTTTCGCAAGATTTTTATACGCACACATAATATAAATACATGTACGTATTGTTATTATCAGATCAGCGCGTTAGAGAATCGTAGACGATGAAAATCTTACTCTATCCAAGTTAAGGATTACGACGGTCGCGGGGTGTTTGGTGGGACTAACTAGAGGGTGGCGCAAGAGTGGAGCGTGCAGACGAGAGCAGAGGCGGGGCACTCATGTTTATATGCATTGTATTGCTAAAACCCTTTTAACCGAATTACATTTAGCGATTCTAGTGCCGCTTTCCCGGCTCTCCTTCTCCCGAGTCTACCGGTGGTCGTCGTCACCCCTTATGCGCTTTTCACTCTCCTCCCCCAACCTTCGATTCTCCGTTCTATCCTTTTTCTTTTCGTGGCGCATAATCCGTTGGCGCGACGAGGAGGGCGAACAACGACGACGACGACGACGACGACATTGCGCTAGCTGTGGAATAGTGGGGAGTCGTGGTGGGGTTGGAAAACCAATGGGGCAAGATTCCGAGACTTGGAACGGCATCCCTGAATTCTTGATTCTCTTGGTAAACAAGTGCTTAGGTGATTCACTGCTTGTTCGCTCCTATCGGCCGTCGTCTGTTTCTAGACGCCATTGTGTTTTGCGATTCCACCTCGTTTTCCGGTCTAATGGCTTTCCGTGACTAACGGTGGATAAGGTTGCTCCGGAAACTCTTACTCCTGTTTCTATTTATCTTTTATTTTCTTCTCTTCTTTACTTTTTTCTTTGTTTTTTTTTCTGTCGCTATTTTTTTTCTTTTTTTAATAAATATGTGCATATATACATCTTAATGATGTTTTTTTTTTTTTTTTTTCAGTTTCATTCCTCATCGATATCATTTATCGAGCGATGACATAAAAAATATTGCAAATTATGTTCGCGATTGTTATTATTATTATTTGAGGATTAATCGAAATTGTAATACATATTCGAGAAATATATTAATTTAGAAAATGTTTTTTCTGATGTAAAAAAATATTCGTAAAATAATGCTTGCAGAACGAACAATCGCGAGAACGATAGATATCCGAAGATCCAAATTGTTTCATTCGCGGATCTCGCGTAGGAGTCCATCATTAGCGCTAACAAGGTTGGCCCGAGGCTACAAAGGGGACTTCACCCTTCGTCGAGCTAACCTCTAGGTATACATATACACGCTTACAAATGCGTGCAAACACGTGCAGAAATAGACACGAATAGAGAGTATATGAGCGCATATATATCGCTGTAGTTTGGTCCCTTTTAGAAACAAGAGGGGATAATAAGATCTACGACAATCAAGTAAGGATGTCGAGAGAGAAAGAGAGAGTATTGCGAGATGCGGCTTATCGAATGAACTTTGGCGTGATGATATTCGTCATATTATATTCACATGTTATTATTTCATGTTAAAGTGAATTCATTATTTATTGATCAATTTGTATCTCTTTTTTGTACGTAATGCTTGTACATATGATATTTTCTTTAAAAAAATTTTCTTCCTTTTATTTATCGTGATTTATTCGTGATTTTTCTTTTACATTATTAATAGCAGACATTTTTAAATATTGAGATACTATTTGCTACAATATTGACAACATACGTACTTTATATGCACTTATTTATTTATTTGCATAATCTTTAAGATTTATAACAGAAAATATCTGTAATGATAAATGAAAGAAAGATAAAAAGAAAACAAAAAATAAAGGCAATAAATTGAAAACTGAACAATCAAATATTAAAGAAACATAACAACAAAGAGACTAAGTTTTGAACAAAAACTATTATACTATGATAGAAAAATGAAAGGATCCACATTGTAATCGATATAAAATGGTATCAGAGGCATAATAGTTATCAAAAGAAATATATAATATATATATAAAAAAAAAAATAAAAGATAAAAGAAATATAAATATATAAAAAAAAATGAAAATAATATGTATTATTATTATTATAGATTCTATTCATATAATAATTAATCACTAAATAATTTTTTAACTTAATGAAATTTTTTCTATTTTAGTATATTAAAGAAATTTTAACTTAAACTTTTCCTTAAAAAAATTTATATATATATATAATACAATAAATGAATGATTGTTACCTGATGAAATTATACAAAAGTCAAATTATTTTTCATAATTTTTAAATATATTATATATATCTGTAAATCTTATATATAAGATTACATATTATATATATATATATATATATATATAAGATTTATATATATTAATTCAAATATTATATATATATATAACGATTAAATCAAATCATGTTTATATCTGAAACAAAACAAATTTTAATTTAAATTCAAACTTAACTATTTAATCAGCTAAACCTATAAATAACAGATTTTGCAAAATTCCATTGTTGTTGTTCGTAATCATCGTAAAAAAAAAGTAAAAATTTGATTAATCAAAAACTATTACATCTATTAGCAGATTAACAAAAATATAACAAAATTAGTGAAAATAGATTGATAGCACAAATCGAATAGATAACATAACCTATTGTCAGATTGAAGAATTGCGAAAAGTAGAATTTGCGCATACACTCTGATGTGTCTGATTTTGTCTTAAAAAAATAAAAATTAAAAAATTGCCAAATTTTACAATTTCAGCCATTTAAATTTTAAAGAAGCGCATATATTGACAATTAAAATCTATTAACTTTTTCCGAAATACGATTGTTAGAACGTAATAAGAATAACCATATGAATTCAGTGTTTTCATTTCTTTTTACAAAATAAATTCTAATGCCATCAATGAAATGGAAAAAGAATTAATATTAATGCAAATAATATTTGTTTTATTTCATTTATATTATATTTATTATAAATATTTTTTATATTAATAAATATAATATATGTATTGCAATATATATTTATAATATATATAAAAATGTTTTTTTTATTAAGAAAAATGTTTTATGCATGTTATGAAGATAATGTGAGATTCCATTTTTCAGGAAAGATATTTCTAGAGCTATCCTTTTTTCATGAGGAAAATGTTTCTTCTTCGAGTTTGTAGCAATATTTGCAAATTATAAATATTGTATATAAAAAATCTTAGAAATTTCACTTTATTATCATAAAGACACTATGATAAACTAGATATAGGGAATTTGATGTTGGTAAATTTGTTACTGACATTTATAACATTTTTAATAAGTATTTATTCATATTGATTTAAGTATTTATAAAGATTGAAAATTCGTAAATAATTCAATTTTTTATTTAAATAAATAATTATTTATAATGTTAGCTACTAATTTGTTTACATTAAATTCCCTATCTGAAGCTTGAAGCTTTTTATTTGCTTGTACTGATTCAAGCAAATAGCCAATCAGAAGTAAGAATGAATCAGTTAAGAAAAGAGTGCGTTATACTACTATATAAAGTTTTAATTTTCATCAACCACATTTTCCATCATAATCGAATTTATGTAATAATTATATATGTAATAAATAAAATAAAAAAATTTTTATTTGCGAAAAAAAATTTGTAAAGTACTTACATTTTATTTTATCAGAAGCATTCAGCTTTGTATATTTTTCACTTAATTAGTTACTCTAGCACTTTTATATATTCTAAAATTCTATAAAATAACAATATTGCAATAAGATTCCTGGACACAATTATTATTAACGAAGAAATTATTATATTTAATTTTTTTCACTAGAACTTTAATAAAATAAAATTATTATAATTATTGATTAGTATTTTAATAAATTACAATCTTTATGTTTTTAAATAAGTATAAATAATTAAAAATAAATCTGGAAAGCATATATATATCTATAACTTTCTTCTTAATTTCAATTTCTATTATAATATATATTAAAATAATTTTCCATAATTTATTTAAAATAAATAACTTATGAATAATATAAAAATGATAGTGAGACACTGAATTTCATAAATAAAAAATAGAAAAATATATTGGTCTACGTCTTTTCTACACTTAGTGCTTATACCTCGTCTGTTCTTATATTTATTAATATAGAATATCTTTATGATTATTTATATGTATTATGGTTATTTGATATATATAATTCCTATTATTAAATAAGTATATTCATTCTTAGAGGTTAGACAAAAATATATTGAAATTTTCATATTCGATTAATCGATTAGTTTAAATATATATTAATCTTAATCTATCGATTCTTATACTTGAAATATATTAATTGAATATTTTTTTTGTATATTATTAATTTAAACTTCCGTCTAATTTTTTTTTAATAGAACGTTATATTATAAAAAATTAGTTTATTATATTATTTTAAACATATTTAACAATATTATGTTTAATAAGATTTGACCAATACAAATATGTATCGAAATATACGAATCAAGCTGTGATATGTGAATGTTTCAAGTATGTGATTCATTTTATGACTTTTTTCATATATATATTGATTTATATTTGGAGAAAATAAGAATAAAATGATATTTACTAGTGAAAATAAACTCAAAATAATTAAATAAGTTAATAGTAATTTCTTTAAATGACAGATTTTATTAATTAGTATAATATATATTATTATCATTATATTATATTTAATAATGGATCAAAAACATCGGGAAACAATAGATTTATATTGTAAGGATATTGTACCTAGAATAAATATAATTAAACTATGGCCAAAGCTTGTCGAAAATCAAATTTTTAATAGAGATGATGTAAATATTTCACGTTGGAAGGTAAGAATATATTTATTTAAAATGTAGTAATTTTGAAATTGCAAATTATATAATAATATATTTATAATATTTTTATGCAGAAAAATCTCACAGATAAAGCAATTGTACAAGATATATATTTAACAATAAAAACACGAGGACCTTTTGCATTTCATCGTTTTGTAACAAGTTTAAGACAAAGTGATCATGATGATTTAGCAGATATTTTAGAAGGAAAAAAAATATTTTCTGATGATAATATACAAAAAAATATTAATTGTAAAATTATGAAAAATAATAATATAGAAAAAACAGAAATAGTTCCAGTTATAGAAGAGTAATGTTTAAAATTATATCAATGGATTTTGATTTATTTTTATATTTAAATTCTATTATTTAATTATCATAACCATTATATTTTTTTTTAAAAAAGAATACAAGATGACTTTTATCGTAATATACAAGTGTCTGAAGTACCTCTACAAATTCAAGTACGAAAAGCCACAAAATTTTTAGATGGACCTGTATATGAAAATGTTCAAACATATCCAATGCGTAGAAATCCTCGTGGATTTGTTTTAATAATAACAAATATTGATTATAAATATTCAGACAAAGAGCCTAGAAATTCAGCAAAACATGATGAATCAAATTTAAAACAATTATTTGATCAAATGGGTTTTCATGTTATTTCCTATCGTAATTTAACTGGAGAGGTAAACATAATAGTTTTGATTAGAAAACAATTAAAAAATTTTAAATTATAGCATTTCATTTTTTTTTAAGGAATTATTGGAAAAGATAAAAAAATTTTCTCAATATAAAGAATTACGTAATGTTGATTCTTGTTTTATTATCATTAGCAGTCATGGTAATATTCATCCTCAATATGAAATCACAGAAATAGTGGGTGTGGATCGTAATGAACAAAATGAAATGCAAAATTGCAAAACTGTTTTGTGTACAGATATTTTGGATTATTTTACTGCAGAAAATTGTCCTCATCTTGCAGGAAAACCAAAGATTTTCATTTTTCAATTATGTAGGTAAGTATTGAAACTATCATAGAAATTTTTTTCAAAAATATATACAAAATACAGCAAAAAATTATAAAAAGGTATAAAATAATTCTTTATGAAAAGATGAGAAAAAATATGAAATATATAAAATAAAATTTTTTTATTGAAAACTTAATTTTTGAATTAATTTCATTCATATAAAATTAAAAATTATATTATTATTATATATAATCAATTATTATGAATATAAAATTATTTTCAATTATTCTTCCGATACATTATCAATATTTCTATCAGTGATTTAAAACTTACATTTTCTGAAAAATTATTGTGCTTTTTTTCCAATCAAGAGTATTTTGTGTAATTACAATGTAATAGCAAATATTAACAGATAATTTATAATCACATGATATTAGAATTATTTAGAATCATTTGAAGAAAATTTATAATTAATAAAATTCAGCCATAATCCTGTTTATGCAGCAAATTTTGAAATTAGATTTTTTTTTAGAAAATATGTTTTCAATAAAAAAATATAAATAAAATTATTATATTTTTATTAT